ACTTTCCTGTTTTCTGTAATCAATTTAAACATTTTATAACTAATTATATTACATTTGTGTAATGTTATTTTCATGTAAAGCACTATGCTATTATTACTTACCATCATCATACACAATTTATATTAATATGTTACCTGTATTTTTCTAAAATAACTGTTTTTCAGACGTGTGACTAAGATGAAGAACTCAATTCAGTCCGTCCTCATTCTCATCGCTGTGCTCATGTCAAAAACAGGTAAGATATACTGATTGCAAAATGATTAATTTATTATTATTTGGGGACATTTTGATTTTGCACACCAACACATAACATTTTTCTCACTCTCTTAGGGGCGGATGAGGTGGTATATGTTCAGGTGGGAGAGACTGTTACCCTTAAGGCTCCAGCGGGGAATAATTTACAAAAGTTTTATTTGTACTGGACGTTTGAGGATAACTTTGAGCTTGCCTGGCGCAATAACAACGGCGGAAAGGGGTTCACAGGTCTAAATAATAAATTATCTAAAGTACAAATTGCAAATAAAGGTACTGTTCATATTTAACACATTTTTTTCACATTTAATTATTGCCTTGCAGGTGATGATAAATGGAAAAACAACTTGTCCTGGTCAGGCGACTCACTGGTCATCAATAACATCCAGCAAGAACACTTAGGGTCTTTTGTCTGTAAAGTGATGGATAGACTTCCGAATCGCAACATTGAGACCATCAGATATAAACTACTCAAACTCAACGGTAAGAATTAAAACTAAAGTGATTTGATCAATTTAGTCATGTCATCTTGATACAACATTTAGCTGACTTTTATCCAAAGGGACTTGCAATTGCTACATATGTCAGAGGTCACATGCCTCTGGAGCAACTAGGGGTTAAGTATCTTGCTCAGAGACACATGGGTAGATGTACAACTGTGGGGAATTGAACCTGGGTCTCTCACACCAAAGGCATGTGTCTTATCCACTGCACCATCGCCACCCCATGATAATTTTATTGCTTTTCTGTGTGTTAAACTAAAGGCTGTGGGTTTAATTTGTCGAGCTCTACAATATTTTGGCTTTTCAAAATCGAATAGACAAACTAAATCATCAAGCTTACTTACTAAAAGAGCATTTTAGGATTTTTTATGTAACTGCAGCAGTATTTCTATTTGTTAAACTATGTTGACTTTATGGAAATGTCCAACCAAATAGAAGTCAAAATATTGATGAACCTTTAATCATTTATATCATTTTCATTCTGCTCCTTTATCCTGCTCAATTTCTGTTCTAGTTTCTATGAACCCACCCTCTCCTCTGCTGCCTGGGGAATCTATGTCTCTGTTCTGCGACGCAGATTCTCCTCGGAGTCACAAAAAGCCAGTGATTGCATGGCTGAATCCTCAGGAAGTGAAAATGAATAGTCACCAAGGACTATTTAAAGGGAAAGCCACAGGCCAATACAATGGCCAGTGGACCTGTGTTGTGACAAACGAAGGAAAAGAACACAGGGTCACAGTGTCTGTTACAGTTGTGGGTGAGTTTCTGTGTATGTGTATGTATGCATTTGTTTTACAATGGTGTACCCTCTTCCTGAATATTCCATTATTTCTCTTTTCCTCCTTATTTAGACCTCTCCCCAGCTCCTCTACATCCTCAGTATACGTCAACATCTACACCTCTCATTGTCCCCTGTTCCATTCCCAAACACGTCTCCTGGGATCAAATCAAAGCCAAGGGCATCCAGGGAGTTCACTGGGACTTCATCCCTAAATATGGCTCGAGTCTCTTTTCTGGTGGTCCACAGAGGCTCTTCTCACTCTCTCTGGATAATCAACTGACCTGGAAGAAAGACCAAGACCGTGAACTGACTCCTGTACCAGACGTTAAAAATGGAAATCTGTCTTTGACCAGAAATCGAGGGAAAGAAGAAGATGCAGGAGACTACGTGTGCACCCTGAATTTCACAAATGGTGTAACTCTGAAAAGAACTGTACATGTAAATGTTTTGCAAAGTAAGTAAAAACAAGTTGCTGTGTACAAGCCCGGCTCTGTGTTGCCCTCACATATGTCATAGGAAATTTAGTTTGCTTGTTCTTCATTTATCTTTTTGCTGTCCAGTTTCTTTGCTCTGTCCTAATTGTCATTCATAACAAGTTGGAGACATTAGTTTCTGTGCCACCTCCCTGCTTCTGTTCAGTTGTACCGGGCAAGTGTTTTCATCTGTCTGCTGCAGAGTTTATTTGGAAGTGTCCCTGGTGTGACATGTGTCTAATTCAGTGGCTAATACACTTGTCTAGCGCCACTTGTTTTAATAGAGTATGACGAGCTTTCCCTCTGCCAGAAGAGTGTGATAAGACAGTGAAATTTAATTGGACTTTGTGTTCTGAGGATTTATGGTGTCAAAATAATATTTCTCATTTTTATCTAAACTATTATTTCACCAGAAACATTGAAAAGAAACTAGTCCACCAATCTGATGGATAATTAATCCATCAGATTGGTGGACTAGTGGGCAGGGGTGCAGGGGTGCATCTCAAATCTGGGTCCCCTGATTAGCTTTTGAACCCCTTAGTTTTACTAAATCCCGCTGGAGTCCTACTGCAGTGTTTGTGGTTCCCTCCACCACCTTCCACCAAACAAAATTGAATTTAGCGTGTATTTAAAAGACTGTGTGGTGGTGTTTAGATAGTGTTACTTTTTAGTTTGATATAAAAAAAGACTCATAAGACATGGTTCCCCAGTTACAGGCCCTGGTATACTATGTGTCAGGGATTGAGATTGTACAATTGTACAAAATTTGTGGCTATTGAAATTTATGATACCTCACCTGACAACCAGTCCGTGGGATAATACTGGGGGGATTAGCCAATTGTCCAGTCGGATCCTATAGCACAAAACTAAATAAAATGAAATATGATTGAAATAGGAATTTTACGATTGTTTTAATTATTGATTTACCTGCCTGTTATTTTCTCGATTGATTAATACATTGTTTTGTCCATAGGATATCGGAAAATAGTGATGAATGCCTGTTATGTTGTAGTTTCCCAGAGACCCAACCAGCAGTCCAAAGATATTCAGTTTATTATAATATAAGTCTAAGGAGATTAGTAAGTATTCACATTTGAAGGCCTGAAGCCAGAGAAAGTTTGGCAGTTTTGCTTTTTAAAATGACTTGGACGATTAATCAACTGTCAACTACTTGTCGACTGGTTGACTTATTGTTTCAGCAGTATATCAGAATAATGTTTTTTTCCCCTTTTTCAAATCTTATTTTGTTGTTAATGCTATGTGCAGTAGGGTTTTGATACTGAATACGTCATGTATGCTATAGGCCTATCTCCATTTTTGTTTGAATTTTTCTTTTTTTGACAACTCTGCTGGCATACTGCAGTAACAGAAGCTAAAGGCTCATTCGGATTCACAGAGTAAATGTTGAGGAAAAGAGAGCTTTTCAGCACAGATTTTCCCCACCTGTCAGAAATGGCAACATTTTCTCATTCATTTCATATTCAATGTGACAAATATTGTACATTTCTTGTCAATGTCTTAGTTCTTTCTTTGTGCCCTTCTTACGTTCTCTCTCCAGTCATCTCCTCTCCAGGAACAGACCTAATTTCTGGCCAGCAGGTCAACCTGACTTGCAGCCTTAGCTATCCTGTGCCCTCTGACGTACAAGTGAAATGGCTTCCACCTGAACAATCGCAAATGTTTCCTCTGAGATCTGACCATTACCCCGCCAATCTCAGTTGGGAAGTGGGGACAGGAGATGGCGGAAAATGGAGGTGTGTGCTTCAGCAGAACGACACATGGCTGACGTCAGCTGTGATCATGCTGAAGATCGGTGAGCGCAGGAAGTGAGAGGGGAGCAGGAAATATGACATGGGCATGACCTTGTGGTCACAATCTTTTTTACGACAGAAACTTGGTTTTACATGATGTGTTCTCTGTACTGTACACTGTTTGATGACTGTTTCTGTTGTACACAGAGCCCAAGCTGAGTGTGTGGATGAAGTTGACCATATGCAGTGCCACAGTCATCATAATCCTCCTCACCATCTTCGTTTTCATCTTCTACCGACGCAGACAAGTACAGTTAAATCATTCCTATTCCACTGTGTTAGATCATACTGAATTATTAGTATGGTACTAAGATCTCTCTCTCTCTCTCTCTCTGTTTCTCTACGTCTCTTTGTCTCTCTCTGTGGTTGACATTAGCGGAAGATGAGACATCACAGGCATAGACTCTGCCAATGCAAAAAGTACGTAACAACCATTTCCTGCACTGATGAAATGGCTCCCAACACACATTCACACACATCAAGACTGAAATCTGAGTAATACTTTTAGACATAAGGTGTTTTAAAAAATAAGATTAACCTGCATTTTGTTTTTTGGAGCTCTGTGTCTCTTTCCACAACTCAAACAGAAACCTGTGACTTTCTGTTTCAGCCCAAAGCCCAAAGGATTCTACAGGACATAATATCTCCCACAAAGACATTTTTCATGAGGACATCACAACCAATTGAATTTCTGTCCAGATAAGATGGATTTTTCTGTCATATCAACTAAATTGACCTCTGTTTGGTGTGTGATGCGGATCTGAAAATCCAGCCATTGTTGAAATGTCAGATAAGACTGTATTATCACAAAAATGTTGTTGTACATATCATCCAGTTTGGATTGTTTAATTTGATTTAAATTTTAAACATGTAATAAATTTTCTCAGAGACCTTTCTATTTCACAGATTTGCTCCATGAAACAATCCTTGCTAAACTCTATGTTCCACTTAATTATCATTTTAACATTATTGCTTGTGATTATTGCTGTTAATAATTTTATTTTATACTCTTTCATTCACAATGTTTTCAGATTTGCCTTTCTGTCATGTTATGTAATTTGTATGATGCTTTATGATTGATTGATAGTTATATTATTTTTTATAATGAGAATCCGTTGATTCTAAATACACAAATTAGGATACTTTATTACTTAAATCTAAATAGGACCTTTCTCTCATACAATAGTTTATTTGTAGATTAAGAGAAACTATAAAAATGGTGGCCACTGAATTTTTTAAATAAAGAATCAATATCTTTCATAATCGAGTGGTGGTCGTGCAGTGGTGTGGTGGGGGTGTATGGGGGTGGGATGGCATCCATCTGACATATTCTAAGATAGAAGAAGGAACAGGGAACATCATACCAGCTCTGAGTATAGCTGTCCACCACACAGTCCTCTTCATCCACCCCACCCGACAGGTTGTTGTCTGGCTCGAAATTCCCCATGAATTGTTGTCACCCTCTACACAGTGACAGAACAATTTAGTGTTATTATCCTAGTGAAACAGCTCTTAACCACCTATATGTAGTGTCTCTTTTATGCTAACTTGACTATTGATGATGATCCTCAAGTAAAATGTAATTAACTGTTATTATTTACAATCACAACCAAATACCCATGACACATTTTTTTCTAAGTTAAGTAGTGTCAGAAAATGTATTATGTTATTTAGGAATAGGTTCTTTGTGTAGGCACCAAATTTGTCCACACACATTTCCACACCCCCAAAGCAAGCCAAATGTTTAGCCATGCAAATAGCATGGCTCTAGGGAGTGAAATGTTGATCAGTTGGTCACATCACCACTTTGGTCCAGGCTGAAAGATCTCAACAACTACTGAATGAATTGCTACAGAATTTCATACAGACATTTATTGTGCCCAGAGGATGAATCCTAAAGCCTTTGGTTAACCCCCTGACCTTTCCTCTAGTGTCACCATGAGGTTTGAAATGTCTCAACATTCACTGGAAGGATTGTTTTGACGACTTTGGTGATCCCTTCACTTTTTAGTTAGCGCCCTCATCAGGTAAAAATTACAATTTGCACAATACATTGGTCTATGACAAAATTTATATTACCTGCATACCGTAAAACTTCAATTAATAGCCAAGTCCCAAATAGCCGCCATCCCCGTTTACTGGCCTGGTGGGGGAACACATTTAGAAAAATAAACGCAGGTCTCAATTAAACACCCAGTCTGGTTGTTATATAAGTTATTTGTGTCCCAGTTGGTTCTGTGACACTTTTTTTCCCCTGTGGTGTTCTGTGGGCGTGTGTGTGTGTGTCTTACACAGGGAGCTGGTGAGGTTACACACCTGCTGGCAATCCTCACGCCTGGCCTAAAGATGTGGGGCTCCCTGAGACTTGTCGCCAGATTATTCCTAACCATCTCATGGTTGAGTACTTCAGGCATGTAGTTACTTGAGTTTGTTTCTAGTGCGTTCTCTGCCTGGACCTGGACTAACATTCTTTTGTCTTTCTCCTTTTTCAAGATACCCGCATCCGGTGTGTTTTCTGTGCTGCTTGGAGGATAATTTGGAGCGCTGATTGCCACTGCGCAGCACGGCCTGCCCCTGCTCACATCTCGCCTTCTACCACGCTGTACTACTAGTTCCTCAGTTCTTTGTAAATAAACTCTTGACTATAACTGGCCTTGATTGTTCTGTGTCCTGTGTGGGACTCTCAAGTTACATTTGAAGCGCTCATTAAGTCTGATTGTGCCCGTTCCTTGATTGTTTATATTACTTTAGTTTGTAGGGTCCAGCTTTCCATAAAAATAAATCCAAGTTGTGAATACTGTCATGTGAAGTCCATTGTTCTCTGTCTGCTAACTTCTGCCACACTTTTCTCACCTTGTTGTTGGGTATAATTGCTCTTGTAAACTTACTGCCTACAAAATAAAAGTGTATAATCCCTCTGTCGGAACTAGATCAAATGAATGATGTGTAATTGATATTATTTGATAATTTTATGCAAATAATATTCATACTGTTTGAAATAAATAAACTGTTTCATAGTAGCCTATTTCGGTTTTGTGCAAAAAAGTCCTGTCCCAAATAAAGGCAGGGTCACTTCAGTAATTTTAGCATATAAAGGCCCTGGCTATTAATCAAAGTTTTACGATAACCAGTGCCATGCCTCTGCTGTACGGACCACTATGCCTAAGTTCAGTCTCAGAGCCGTTAGCATGGGTTAGTCTTGCTCAGGGTATTACTGACAAGCAGCAGGGGTGTGGACATGGGCTAGTCATTGTTAAAAATAACCGAGGTCTACATGTGTAAATACACATTAACATGAATAAGCTCAACAGACATCTCTGCTTTACACAGCAATGACTTACACACTGAAAATATTCTTTAAGGTCTTGCCAAACTCGATGAATTTGTCTCACTTGCATGTACCGATTTTGATCCTCATGTCTGGCTGGTTTTCACATTTTTCCAAAATAGTAAACTATTGTAATGCTATCCTCTAACATGCACAAAATAAATCTTGTGTAGGTGTGATGCTGTATGCTATCTTTACAGTAAGTGAGACCTTAACAAAAGACGTGATGGCAACATTACAACTATGCACCCTGTTGCTAACGCCAAGGCCTTCTTTGTAAATCTGTTAATCCTTAGGCTCGGCAGGAGTCTTCATTATTTCTACTCATCAAAGCTTTATTAAGGTGCTTGAATATTAATTCATAGACATGCATGGACTCGCTTAGGTGTGCATTTTTCAAGTTGTATGTATGGACAGTATTAGTATAGTAAGAAACAACTAAAAAATATTATTCTCATTGCAAGAATAATATTTACATCTAAAAAACATCTAAAAATATTGTATTATTATAGAATAATATTTATTAGATGTTTATACATACAGATTATTAATTGTTGAGTTGGCCACCCATTTCCTGTCACCTTCACTCTCACTGTCAGTCAGTCCAGTCCAGTAGTTTGTGTAAAACCCTCCCTTCCTCCTGCCTTCTTTTTCAACAGCTTCCTAAAAATGTAGTGCATCCAAATTTGTTGCCCTTTGTTAATGTTAACTAACAAATACATTTAATCAGACAAAACATCGGCCATACACAGAAATACTTACATGTTGCTCTCTGGTGGTTAAAATGGCAAGATGATTGCCTATCTCTGTGCATATATATCTGTACTATTTTACCACTTCTGCTTATCAGTACTGAGGAAGAAGTATTGATCCCCTACATGAAGCTACTCATCAGCACACTGAGGAAAAGTTTACAGAAGGTTTACAGAAGATGCAGAACACATGTGGGATTGCAGAATAAGATATATAAACAGCACCTGGAGCTGAGCAATTGGATGCCAGGTTGAAGAAAACATTAGACAGGTGTCTGTAGTGATTCTTTAGAAGGTTTAGTTTCAGCTTTACAGAGGACAGCTCTCCCTATAGACTGTCTGCAGTCTGAGAAGAAGCTTCAGAAACCAACAGGCTGATGAGAACATAGAGGATGATGTGGCCTCTGATTCTCAGGGTGCCTGAAGAGACAGATAGCAAAGTATAAACATGCAGATACAACACTAGAGTACATGCAAACAGACGCACATATACAATCATCACTCATGCACACTGTATAAGGCGGTCTTACCTTTATTTTTATTTATTTTTTGGACTTCATCATGTCTGTCAGATTGCTTTGAGTTCCTCTCTATGTTCTCTGGGGTGTTTTATAGCGCAGATTGTTTACTAAAGAGATGGAAATATATGGATATTGCCCAAATCTACCAGAATGTCCATGATAATCAAAGCATGTACACTCACATGGTGCAATATCCTGAAGCCAAACCATTGTTGATTTGCCATATTGGATTAGACAAACAAACATTTGATGATGCAGCTCTGGCATGCAGGTTGGGCCTTATTTACCGTTACATGAGCAAATGTCCCTCCCTGTCTCTCTTTTTGTTTTTTTTTACAGGCAAAGATGGCGGTCTAAAAAGTATGACTCAGCATTGAGTGTGCATGTGTGTGTGCGTGAGAGAGAGTTATTTGTATTCTCTTCGTTAGTAGAGCAGCTGCAGCAATATCACCTCTACACCACACACACCAGATGCCCACTCTGTTGCTCCAACAGACTGTCAACATTTTTTTTGTTTTGGTATATGTTCCATTAATTTATTTATTTTCTTGGCACCTTATTCTCACAGGCATTGTCAGCTCTTCTACTTCACGAGAGTTTGTTATTCAAACCAAATTAATTAAAGCAGAGGAGTATTTAGTATTTACTTAGTGTGTATATTTCAGTGAGCTAAAATATGTGGTTGCACATCACCACAAATTCTTATCGTCTGAATTTGGGTGCTTGATTCAGAGCTCGGCCCTTCTTTCTTATCAGCACACACAGCACACACACAGCTCCCAGATGCTTTCTTGTCACAACCTTTACAGTTTAAATTTGAGGGTTTTTTTTTTAATTAATGTCAGGCAGTTGAAGGTTCTCCTTGTTTTCTAAAACTTTTCTCCCATTCTGACTCAGACTCCCATATAATATGCTACATCATCTATCACACATCTATCCAAACAGAGCTTGAGATTGAAGGAAATGTTGAGATTGTGCAACACAGGGTAAGTTGACAGTGAAAAACCACAGTAACAAGCAGAAATTCACCACGCAAAGCCAACAAACTGAGGAATCTCTTTGGAAGAACTCTCTTCTCTTCTTCAGGAAACACTTAACACAAATTATTTAGTTGTAGGTGCAGTATAGTTTAACTACACAGTTACTTCTCTGAGCACATTTGTTAAAGCACGGCAGCGGTGTTGACAGGGATGTGCCGCAATAAATCAACCAGCAGGGACAAATTCAATTTTCAAGGAGAAATATTGCTGTTTGGGAGAGGAGATACCAAAGCCTTTAGGGACCAGAGGAGGTACAGTGCAAAGACAGACAGTGTGTTAACAAGGGCATCACAGCCATTGAGGAGAGAGGAAACTACTCCAGCCTGCAGGACTTCACAGATCAGCTGACACCTGGAGGGAACAGGCCCTTTCTCGAACACACAGCAACAGTGTATAAATGTGATAAATATACTGGGAGATTTCATGTGTGTGAGAGCCAGTGGTGAAACACAGCTTCATATAAGGACAATCTCAAGTGCTGTACACCATCATATCAGTGCTTAAAGAAGCAACACCAGTTATAAAAAAAATACAGCAGATTAAGGTTTCACATAGAAAAAACAATATATAAATATATGATGCACTTTTACTTTTGATAGTTAAAGCACATTTTGCTGATAATATTTCTGTACTGTCTATGAAGATTCTCAGTCATCCAGGTCATAGTTATCCAACGAAGGTTAAAATGACTCATGTGCAAAAGGAATCGCTTTCTAGCTTTTTATTGCTGTATTTTTCCAAGATATGGTCAAAAGCTGTTCCTGGTAATAGTTACAATCGCTAGAGATCGAGAAGTAGGGCTACGATTTATTCCCTTTCCAACAGTAGGCTTTAGCTTCTATTGTTATTTGTCTTTCTTCTTTCTGAGATAGCTTTTTCCAAAAAGTTTGACAATATTTCTCCAAGGAGTGCAGTAATAGACAGTGGCAGCACCAATGCTAAGAGTCCGACAGGTCCGACAGTTTGTCGGGCTTAGCAACAGTAACTAATGGGGTGTGGCTTTGTGAAGGGTCAATTAAATAATGGACTTTTGTTTGTAATGGAGTATTTTTACAGTGTAGTATTGCTACTTTTACCTAAGTAATGGATCCAAATACTTTGCCACTATTGAATCTGTCTACATGCATAATATGCAATTATTTGTGTGTGTAGCCTAATTATGCGACAGGAAGAGACACAAATAAACAGAGTATCCAGCTGACCTAACTTTCAGCAGTATTAACGTTTGGGAATAGTAAATGTTATGAAGTTGAATTCTGGTCAAATGTTTCTGCTTTACCTAAAGTCTGCACTCCCTGCTCCACCAGAGGATTAAAAATGGTGAATTGACGGCTACCATGCTGTGGACTGTTTTGTGTCTAATCAGGCTCCCAGGGACTGAAGCGGGGCATTGGGTGTTTGAGGAGTCAGGCAGCTCTCCTGATGGTTATTGGCTTTTTGGCCTCAATCTACGCCAACGTCGTACTCACTGTACTCTGTAAGTATTTCATTGTTTTACAATCTCCTGTGTTTCCTGCCCTCCAGTCTGAGTGTGTATATCTGCCTGTCTGTCTCTCTGTCTGTGAGAGTCTCACGCTATTCCACTCGCTGATTATTCTCTCTTTATTTCAGCTCAGTGTGCTTTTGGACACCTATAATTGGCAATAAACAAGATAAAGCGCTCTCTCCAGTCCAGTGAGGGTCATGTAATAGAAAAAGCACAAAAGTCCATAATTGTGAAATATTTCTCCTGCAGGGCCAAAAGTCTCCGGCAGCTCAGCCTGATAATGTGCTTGGGAAGACACTCTCTCATTTGAAACAAACACCACTGGGGCTGTACATGCTTGATCTATTACCACACACACACTCACACACACACACACACACACACACGCCCACAGAGAAGCTATTGAGTACAATTTTAGTATCTAACAATAATGACTTGCATCTCTTGCAACAAGAGAAGGAAGTAAAAAACTATGACAACAGGCTCTATAACATATTGTAAGAAAAAAATAGATTTAATTCTACTTTATGAGTGTGGCATAGAACCACAGATTATGTACTGTATAACAAGAAATTGGTCAATATTCCTAGCAGTTAAGTAGTATTGCTATTGTGGGTCGGGTAAGCTGATAATATACATTTTTACATGTTTTCACTTTACTTTGGTAGACTCTTTATTTGCTTTATAGTGGTACATTAGCTGCACAATAAACCACATCTGCCATATGAAATATGAAATATGCAGCACATTGTAACATTTAACTTCACAAATATCTTAAAGCACTATTTAAAAAAATACCACTTCACGTTTTACTGTGAAATCTGTTAGCCACATTCAACCTCACTACATCACATGCACCTGTGTTTATACATCTGCAGGGTTGCCAGGAAATGGTAAAATGTTAGCTTTATCAAGAAGAACTCATTTTTAAAATACACGCTCTGATGTGAATTACTAACCACAGCAAAACTTTCAGGTTACAGTTCATCAAGGTCAAAAACTGTAAATATGAACTGATGGGCAGAAAGTGGTTTGACTTCTAATTCCTCTGAACCAGTGATAATACCGGTCATATTATCAAGTTTCAAACTCATCCTGAGATATTGTAGATAGTGTCTATGACGGTAATGAAAGCCACAAACGTACATTTACTCTTAATAAATAAAGCATTAAAGCATAAAAAAATATGTTTTAATAGGCAATCTGGAATGGAAGCATAAACATCGGAAACACAAATGTGGAAAAATATCTGGCAATGAAACCAGAGAAAGTTCATATTGTAAATGATAATTATTTTACAGCCACAAGGGAGCTCATATAAACTCAATTATTCCAGCAACAGCAGCAATAAAATCTTACAGAGATTCACAGACTGTACTAAAGAGCATCATATGTTTGAAGAGGGACAAGTTAGTCTTGAGTGAGAAAACACAACAGTATGAAAATTACATTCGTTTTTAGTCACACTTTCGTGGGTCGGTCCACCACTTGGGTCCAGACTGAAATATCTCAACCGCTACTGGTTGATTGCCATGAATTTCTTTAGGGCCTACAGGTAATCATGGTACTCAGAGGATGAATCCTACAGACTTTGGTGATCTTCTTATTCTTTTACTAGCGCCACCATGAGGTTGTCATTTGTAGCTTTGTGTGAAATGTCTTGTCAATTACTGGATGGATGACATGAGATTTTGTACAGACATCTGTGTCCCCTCAGGATGAATTGTAGCTTTGGTGATCCCTTAACTTTTTTTATCTAGCGCCATCATCCTGCCTGCGAAAAAAGCTATCGGTCCATCAGCTCCCATCAGCCTCTGCTCTGTACATTTTAGTGCTAATTAGCAAATGTTAGCATGCTAACATGTTAAGCCAAGATGGTTAAAAAAACATTAACATTTTAGCATTGTCATCATGAGCATGTTAGCATGCTGACATTAGCATTTAGCACACAGACAGTCTCTCCCCCCTCCCCTCCCAGTGATTGGCATGCTGTTGCCAGGCGCTTCCCTGGATTCTTCATCTCTGGGTTTGAACTTCACCTTGGTTCAAAGACGTAACATCCAGCTGTGTGATGACACGCCCTGGGACAGAGCTGTTCAAAGACAGGTGGCAGGATGTAGATCAAACATGTACACGATCTTCATTTCCTGCTGTCTTTGATTTACTGCTCCCCTCATCCTTTTATCTTGCCCTTTCTCTCATTAACAGTTAAGCAGTGTAGGGATTGTCCTGAAGGATCATCTTGGGGATCAGTGTTAACACTTCAGCAGTGACAAGCTGTACTGGCTGAACAGTAGAGATGGGCAGCCATCTTACCATACTGCACACTATAGAACAGCATGTGAGAGTGTGTATGTGTGTGGTAAATGTGCGTATGGGGATGAACTGAACACAACTTTTCAACCGACTTCATAGATAGAAATGATCCCTTTGTCTGCAGAGCCCTGCTGACCAGCACAGGTGTTCCTCATTCCCATTAATTGGGTTGGTTACTGTGTGCTGTCAGCAAGAGAAGAAAATTAAAGACACGAGGGGGTGTGTGTGTGTGTGTGTGTGTGTGTGTGTGTGTGTGTGTGCGCGCGCGTGCGCGTGCACATGTGTGTAAAGGTGGGAAGCATCTTTGCAAGGCAAGGTCACTTTACAGAGTCTTTACTTTTGCAAAGAGATAGTTTAAGATTAGATGTTAGATTTAAGTTAAGGCCACAGTAGGTATTTTTCACAGCAGATATTTGGATCTGTCAGTTCTTTTAAATATTTTTTTCTTTTTACCACTGCCTTTAATTAAATCAAATGTAAGGCTGTAGATTAATATCGTACACTGCACTATGAATTTTGTCCTGTTTTACCCTGTTTTTGTTTCCTATTTAACTCTTTAAATTTAATTTCCCTTTGTTGCCTTTGTGTTTTATGTAAAGCATGTTTTTGAAATGTGTTATGCATATAAACTTGCCTTGCCTTGTCAGCTGAACCTCAGGTCAGGACTGGGTGTGTACAGACCAGATTGGGTTTAGTTAAAGTTGTGGGTTTACTGTAACAACTGAAGATCCTTCCTGGTATAATAAAACCATAATCATAAAGTGTGCGTGTGAATTTGAGTTTTACACCTAGGCAATGCATTATGTCAATGATGTACACACATGTTGTGTGTGTTTAACTTAAGGAGTAAAATAAGCCAGGAGGATTGGTGTATTTGATATCCACTTCTGGACCTGCCTGTCTTATATACAGAAAGAAGGAGACTGGAGATGCACAACACAAGTACTATCTAATTTTAACACTTAATGTATGAAATCATTTTAAATATATACTTTATATTGAAGTTGCTATACTGCATTCATTTTAAATTTTGATGATACTGAAGAAACTGTTCTGAACTGTCCAAAGCAAAATAAGCCGCCTGTTAGATACCGAAATTAAAATAATATAAACTGACTTTAGCAACATCCAAATAAATGTTAAATGTATTTGTAGTAGACACACAACAATGTCCATTCTTGCACCAATACCTCAGATAACCTCAGAAGGAGGCATTTTTCAGAAATGTTCACAGTTGTGAGCTTACCCTGTCTATCTCCCTTTCCTCATCTCTCCCTCTGTCACAGATACTGGGATCAGTGGAACTCAGAGCCAGATAACCACCAGTAAGGCAGGGGACATGGATAGGACTGCGCCACCTTAGACAGCCACTCAAAGACATGGTTTGATGTTCCTTGTGATCACAGTTATAGACGGATCTGCCAGATGGATGCCATTCGGCTCAACTGAATCGTCCTACAACAGAAAATAGTGCAGAACTGGAAAGTCTGAAAATGACACACTTTCTGGGTTGTGACAGACAATGCAAAAATGAATGGACACCAAAAGGTAATTTTTGTGATATGCAACATATGCACCCCCGACCGCAGGATAAGCGGTTGACTACGGATGGATGGATGGCAACATATGCTCAGGAGAGTTTTTTACTGAAGGTGTAGTTCATGGAAATCTGTGCATTATGTTGAGATGTTACTTGCTGAAGGAAATAAGTATCATGAATGACATGTACTCTGCATACCTACTTTTAAGTAAATCTATAATGAAAAACATTACATTAAAAGAAAATATAAATTGTAGTATTGCTCTAATTTTATGAAGTGCTTCATCAAAATTCTTTTTTTTGTTTGAATGTTACATCATCCAGGTCTGACTGCAAAAAAAAAAAGAAGTAATGTTGTATGCCATGAATGCTGTTATTTTCTGTCTCTGCTGATGTTTAGAAGAGATTTCTGCAAATTCACAATTTTAAACAGATTATTTCAGAAATAAAATTGTATATTTTATTTTTATATATATGTATATTTTTTAAATATTTTAATCTTGTTGCATCACTGCACTACTTCAGACTTAATGTATGTCAATGGAAATAGTCTTTTTTTATATAGTCAACCTTTTGTGTCTATGTTTTTGTTTTTTACACTCTACAACATACAAACATCCACACAGCATGCTGACAAGCAGTTGAAGTCTGGTCATTGATGTAATATAATAAAGTAAATGTAATATACTGGATAAAACACTGGTTTCCAACATTTTTTTGCTTGTGATGATTTAAAATGAAAAAAGGTCTACAAGTGATAGTCTTCGTCTGGACATGAGCTGTTAGAGTTCAACCAAGAAAGAGTTTTCACTAGAAAAGAAACAATAATTAGAGACATGGCAGACAAAAGCCCTCCCTTGTTTTGTCAACTCCTCCATTAAGTTATCTATAAAGAACAAATTGATCTGATTATGTTTCAGGTGGCATAAATCACATGACCGCTAGATGACGCTGTCTGAGCCCCTGACACAGATGCTGATCGACAGATTCTCTTGTCCCGCCCACTTCACTTTACTGTCCAATCAAAGATTACGTTGCTGTGTTGTTGTACGTGCTCTGACAGCGGAACTGAATAATCGAAATACAGGCTGTCTGCTAGAAACCAACACAACAAGGTAAATTTAAATACACACAGGCTTATTTTAACAAGTTTGTGGAAACAGTTACGTGCATATCGTATCTCCCGGTTATTTACGCTGCACAGTAGTATGATTTAAGTCACTAGAAAGGGTTAAAATGAACTGAGGCCTAACGTCAACGGTTAAGCAAAGCCTTGCGGTTGGTTAGCCGTTAGCAAATGAGCTAGTGTGACACATTGAGCTTGAATAGTGGCTAACACACATTTTAAAAGAGAACTGCTAAAAGTCTCGTAGCTACAACGATATGTTTGTTAGACACTTCATCTGTCATTTGCATTCATGTTTAGTGACTGATAAGCTTAGATGTTAGCTAGGTGATATAGCGGTGCAGCTATGTTAATACGGTGGCAGGGAGTCAGCTGAACAAGCTTTAACTGTTAATCTACCTTGTTCCTTGATCACCACCTTACATGACCAGAGACGTGCCTTAAAACAACAACTTTAGGTTTTGGTTGAATTTTTATCTTTTTAATATGTAGGTTGAGCTCTTGAAACAGTAACGAGTGTCTTACAGTGGCATTTGATGCTCTATAACGTTACACAAGTCTGTTTCGTATGTTGCTGACAATTGTCCTGTGTATTTGTAGTCTTTTGTGGATTTTTCACTTTCACCAAGTTAACTTTGCTCACGCATTGTTTTTCTGAAGCAGTTACTTCACTACATATGCAGTCACAGCCATTATTAAGAAAAATGGTTTTAATTACTCCCACGCTGAAAAGAAATCTGACAGTAGCATAACCTTTTGATAGTAAAGTTTCAGTTTCAGCCAGGAAGAGAATACCCTTACTCTGTATATCTATATATATTTGTGTAAGATCAATTAGTGTTGAAATAATTAGTGGATTAAATGGAACAGTAGGTCGATGTATTGTTTCAATTATTTATAATGCTAAAACGTCAGACGTTTCCAGAGGGATTGCTACCTTTCTCTGCTTTATATCATTTTGAATTTGATTTATTTTGTTTTTAGATTGTTGATTGCACCAAACAAGCTATTTGAAGATGACATCTAGATCTTTGGGAAATTGTGATGGAATTTTTCAATTTTCTATTAATGCACTTAATGGTTAATCAAATAAGTGGAAAGACAATTGGTAGCTTAATCAATAATGGATATAATTGTAGTTCCATCCATTCTTAATGCTTAAATAATATCCTTTTAACTCACAGCGCACACGCACACTTTATATCATTCAGTCATGTTCTCCTTTTTAGAAATAAAACAGTGACATACACTTTTAGCACAATTCCAGGAGCTTAACCTTTGCTGCCATCATGGCTGCCATACATCTTTAAGATGTTATATCTTTAAAGTAACAGTGCTTTCACTTGACTGGGACATTGCAATAAACTGATCACCACTGCCTTTATGTAGTTAACCCTCTTAACTTAGGTGGAGTGAGTATCCGGTACAGATAATGTACTTTTTACGAGTAGTAGTATCATCACAGTAAAATGTGTCAATATCTTTTCTGTGTACTTGCTCATCCCTATCCTTAACGTAAAGTTTTTCCATTTAGTTGATGAAGTCATCTTATCCCAGACTTTTTGACAGTATATTGTATACTGTATATCCTTATCAGCCTGTTTAAACTCTTTTCTATGTTTACACTGGGTAAACTATTCAGAGTCAAATCTTCACTGTTTTTATGTTTATGGGTATGAACAATATTTGGCTGTACAACATAAGAATAACATTTAAAGAAGATTTGGGGAAAACATATGAACCCCTTCTTATTAGAGTTGAGAGTCTATTGAAGTGAGTGTTCCTTTAATGAGTTTGGGTTATGATACACAACGGTGGAAGCTTACAGCTGCCAAATCCAATTGTGAATTGTTTACGTGGTTCCTTCTTATTATTTTATGGAATATTTTATTCTGTTTGATTCTCAAACTCTAAATAGAATCTAAAACTCTCCATAGCAGTACAAATAACAAAAACAACAACTGTAAAATGTTATCGGTACAACAGAAGGTACTGAGGCAAAAGTAGCATTTTATATACAAATAATATTTGATCACATTGTGCTGGCATGATACACAATTAAACATAGGCAACAATAGGCTAAATGAATAGATGAAGTGATTATCTAAGGTCATTACTGCATGACAAAACAGTGTATCACAATGAGTATCTATACCTCCCTTTGTGCTTTGACATCCTCGGGATTATTATTTATTGTCAGTATTATTTTAGTATTCTTAGTGTATTATTCAATTTTATTTGCATTTATTTTTATATCCCAGGGGTCAGTAAGGTGTTCTGGCAGGTCCGCATATTCTAGCCATCTCTTACTGATACACAGCCAGTCGTCCATTTAAATTCCAAGGGATCCATCTGTCTATTTCAATAGAAATAGACAGATTCAATAGAAATAGACAGATGGATCCAATCCTGCCCTTGTGTTCAGAGCTTGATTTGACTTTTAAACAATCCTGAAATAAAAGAGGCACTGTTTCTGAAACAGTGTAGGTTAATTACTTTGGCTGCAGCACATGCCTCCTCATCTGTTCACCTTGCCTGAGAATATGCTCTTTAGATATCGTTTATATTGGTGTAGTGGGACGACATATGCAAGATGTGCATATGTGCATCTAAATGCATCAGATTTAAAATGATACCATACATAAGCACTGACTGAGATAAATAAGAACCAGTCAGACTAGTCTTAGCTCAGCGGTGGGTATTCAGACTCTCTGTTGCATTCATTTTAAGATTTCGCCTCAGGTAATAAAACCAGTCTGATGCAACTGCAATAACTGTTTCATGTATCTTTAAGACTAAACTTCCCTTGTGTCCCAAGAAGTGTCTTCTGGGATTAAGATCTTAAAATATCCCATCAAAGTCACAAGGACATCTTCTCACATTGCACACTTCGAAAGGACACACGAATAGTCTCAGACTGACATCCGGTCTGTGCTATTTCTTTATGTGTAGGTCCTTTTCTACTTTAAAGCTCAGGCCAAAGTATAGAAAACATTGACATCAGGTTTTGCATGAGGCAGTGGTCTAGGGTTTTTTTTGTCCTTGTTTTTTTATTTTCAGGACACACTTTCTGGAGAGTAAATATCTGCTCAAGGCATAGGCAGATTCCTGTCACTACTTAGGTAATTATTCTGCTGTTGCCTTCAGCCCAAGTGTATTTGCATCGTGTCTCTATGCAGGCAACGGGCTTTGATGAATATACATGCCCTGCTTCGCATTCACTTCACTTGTTGCCCGCATTGCTTCTACCTAGTGCAGCTTCTATTCCACTTTCTGAGTAGCTCTCCGGGTAATTTGAGGGTTAAGTGCTTTGGTCAAGAGTACTTGGCTTTTAGACACAAGATGAAAAGGGAGTGTTGTTCAACTCTGTGTCCTTTTAACAGGGCACAGGTTGCTGGACAATATTTCAAAGGGCATGACAAAGGTTTGGGATTGTTAATAGAATATTGATGGAAGATTGTGACACAGTGTCCCTAAACAGCATTTCCCACCACCATAATAATGTGGCAGAGCCAAGGAGGTAACAGATGTTATTTCCTTGATTTTACAGAGCTCTGCTTATCTTATGTGTCTTTCTTTAGTACTTTTGTCTCACCTGCTAACTGTGTCTCTGTGACCTGTGTCCCCTGGCATCAGATGGAGGTGGAGCAGCTCCTGTCTCTGTCAGGCTCAGCACTGGCCCAGGCTGTCAGCTCCCTGCTGGAGACCCCAGGCCTCTACGTCTTCTCTGACATCTGGAGCTGCCTAATGTCAGAGAGGTAAACACACTCCCTCTCACTTTATCTTCCTCACCCTTTGTGTCTTGTGGGACCTTCTCAGACCTGAACTCGGGCATGAAAAAAATCCATCTTAATCTTCACAGCGAGACAGTTATTCTCACAAGTGGTAATATATCCACCAAACCACATTCAGAGGGGTCAGTGATGCATGTGAGCCGATGTGACCACATTGTTGGTGGAGCATCAACACAAATGTATTTCCTAACCACGCTGGGCCGTGTTATCACCTATGGGAATGTATATATTTCTGCATCGATGATGTAATCCCTGTCCCAACTCACATCCCAATGAACACATCTCTACATAGAGTTCCTGGGTGTGAATTTCAAAATGTACATTACCAACATATTACGTATGTTGTATGTTAAACTTAGGTATGAGAATACGTAGTTAGCACCCTATTTTGGAAATGAAATGCTACTGTTACAGTAGAGTAGGACTGTGCGACACAATTTTTCCATTCAGACCACAGGGGATTTTTACTAAGGAATTATGTCCCCTTTTGATGTCATGTTGTATCTGTCCATATTTACTAAAAGACCATTCAAAGCCTTTGTGCAGGTAAAATGGAAGACAAGCAGCCCTGCTAAAGAAGTCATACAGAGGACATTGGGTCTGAAGTTTAATGTCTGAGAAAAGCAGGTGTAAAATCAGCAGCGCTGTTTTATTGGATGAACACAAAGGCAGAGAGACTAACCAAGTTGAAAGAGTGAGTGAGAGAGACATACAGTGAATGATTGAGAGAAATGGTTTTGACATTGAAAATACATAACCTTGGCTGCAGTGAATAATATTACAGTAAATTAAATAAAATGCATCATAATCTTTTAGACAAAAGAGAAACAATGCAACAGTCTGTTATTTTATAACACAAATCTTTACCCTTCTGTTCCCCTCAGTGGTTTTCTGCTTTAATAAAGTTTTTCTTTATTTCACAGCAGGTCTAGTCCTGTGGAATATAAATGTAACAGCCAGTAATACTTGCATGTAATATTATTTTAATCTTTAAAGCAGTAATCTTTTTTTCATCAATCTTATCTTGTTTTAAATTTTATCAAAAATCTCCCACAACATTGGAATATTTATAATTTTTCCTCACATACAGTCATCTTCTTGGGGGTTGAAGAAAAGCTTGCATTTCCAAGTCTCTTCTTTTCAAACAATATTTCTGACAGAAAACATTTTCTTTTGCTCCTCCCTGCTTTCCAGACATGCGCAACACTCCTCAAATCAGTGCGGTGTTTATAGAAATCAGATGAACAGAAATAATCTAGTCAATAATCTGTTGGGCTCATTTACATCTAAATGGAAAAAGTGCGGCGCCCCTGGTGGTAATTTTGCCAAACGTAGTAGGTATCCCCCTGGTGTGTACTGTAACAGGTGAAGCAGTTTTAAACAGAAGAAGAATCTATATGGTTGAACAGCCACATTTAAATATTAAATCTTGTAAAATTTCTTTGCCGAGACAGACTAGGAAAAGGTTGTTGGTTCATTAGTTGTGGAGAGGTACGTTTTGCTCTATGTTTATTTGCTTTGATTTGGAAATCAAAGCATCTCTTCTCTTTTTGAGATTAATGTGCATAATTTTGTGCATGGTCCCTGATATAAATACATTTAATAAACATAATAAGAATCTGCTGATAGCTTTGAGTCAGTATAAGGAAACACTGTGCAAGTGATTCACTCTGGTATTTGAATATTGAACAGGGATCTGAAGTTTGATCAGAATGGATCATCAGAGTTAAGTCTTCATGGGTCTCTCTCTTTCTTAACCTCATTGAGTCTCAACAGGACCTTTCCTCAGTCAGTGTGCACAGTTTTTATGTTGAGAGTCTCATTACTTCTGTGTTCTGCCACATAATTTTCTCTTTCCCCTCATCTTCCCTCTAAACCACACAGCTGGAGAATGGCCCTCATGCACCAGTGTACCAGCTCCTGAACCTCTTTGCCTATGGAACCTACTGCGACTACAAAGGTATTGCAGTGGCAGCACAGTGTAAATAAGTAATAGGGCAGCCCTGCAACTCTCTTATTATGAGCCGTATTTCTTTGCTGCAAGGCAGACACCCTGACACAGAGGCTTAAACACCCTCACCTGAGACACTGCAGGTCTGTTGTTCACTGATAAAATTACTGGAAAGTTTTTTATCTGTTTGGGCAACTTTTCATCAAGCGCTCTGATTGCCTGATGATTGTCTTTGTAGCAGCAGTGCTGGCACAAAAGGAAAATAAACAAATCATTTGTGCCTTAATTTGCTGTCTTGTGTAATGCAGTGGGAATCTTCAACAAGTGGAATGTTAATTATGTCTTCTTTTATGCTGAATATCAAGCAGTAGCCTGGAAAAAGAATGTAGCCTACTTTATTGTTCCCTTCCCTTTCGAGTCACACCGACAGGGAGTGCATTTACTTTCATAGAGCTGTGTAGTGGAGCCCTTAGAGGACCTGTCAGAGCTGCCGTCTCGGAGAGTGTGAGTCCCATCACCAGGGGAGGAGTAGGAGACAGTGGCTGTAGACCGACTTCCTGCAGAGTCTGTTCTCTGACTGCTTAAACAGCTCCACACTCATCACCTACATGTCTCTGTGTAACATTAGGCCCCGATCAGACACAATTCGTTTTTTGCGGTGAGAGGCGCCTTTTTTCAATTGTTTTCTATTGGCAGTGAGCGTTTTGCGCTCTGTTTATGCGCCCTGGGCGCCTCGCGTTTTCGAAGGAGTGCTCTGAGCGCACAAAGTTGAAAAAATTCAACTCTGAGCAGAAAAGCGCCCGAAGTCATTTTTTTTCATTTTCCAATCAAATGAATGGAGAGATGGAAGTTTACAATTCCTTGGATTATCTGGAGACTGCAAAAAACTGTCCCCACTCATCCTAAAATAAGCCTTGAACCTACAATCATCTAGGGCTGAAACTATTCATCGATTAAACCGATTACTAAAACGCTTCGTTTAATCCATATACAGAACAGTGTGTCGCACGGACATTTATTACTGTCGCACATCGCGCTTACGCTGTGAACATGACGTGATTTTAATGGCGCTGTTTGCAATGTGGAGGAAGAGAGGGAAACTAGGGAGGGACAAAGAAGAAAGTGTCCAAAGTATGGGATTATTTCAAGCTAAAGAAAACAACAGCAACTCTGTAATGTTACAGTCTGTCCACCTTAAAACGAAACTTATGTCGCCTCGGCAACAGCACGACAGCATCTGATCAGAAAGCAGCAGGTGTTCTGCCCGCGGACCACAGACAAGGTTACAGCAACTTTAGCATTTAACTGAAATCATGATTGATTGTTGAGTTGAACGCTAGCCAGAGTAAACCGCAGTCCTCAGCTGAAAATGTACACGTGCATTTGTTGTTGTCCTTTTTGGGCCGTGAGTTGTAACTTCACAGTCAAGAGTTAACTGGGTGTCGGGGAGCTGCACCTTTTAAGTCACTCCCAGCTCTCGGTAGCTCAGACAGTCCCTGCTACCTGCGTGTGCTAATCCATCCTTCACCCATATTCTTTGTCTTTATAATTGGGGTAGGGCCGCCGCCGCCACGCAAAAGTACTTCTTAAACGACGCATCGATGAATCGTTGAAATAATAGAAGCTTCGAATACTAAAATTAGCTGCAGCCCCACAACCATCATCATTAATATGAAGCTACTGGACCAGCTGGTGGTACTACCAGCGGTGTCTCCTCTTTATGAGGGTCTCATGTACCCACACGGATTTCCGTTTCCCTGTCTCCTGCATGTTTGTAAACCTCTCACCCTTAAACAATGCCAGAGACAGATGTTTTTAGCAACAAAAGACATAAACCTGTGTTTTGATCAAGTTTCTGCTAATATGACGGTTATTACTTAGCAGCATACCAAAGATTACAGATCGTTGACAGCTGATTCGGTGGTTGCCTAGCAACATAAAAACGAAGCGCACTGCTCTTTTCTAAATTCAGCCAAAAAAGGCATTGCTGTGCACCTCCCGTTGTCAAACCTGCAAAGCGCTTTCTGTCTGATCGGGGACTTACTCTTCAAAGTAATAAGTAGCGCCTCAATTATGTGTGACTGCTTGACCCTCAGCAAAGTGACAATTTAAACACTGCTCTGGTATAGTTTTTCCTATTGTGTTTTTTATTTTATGTTCTTCTCTGCTGCTGTAGAGAGAGCAGCCTCTCTTCCAGAGTTGACCCCGGCACAGAAGAACAAACTCCGCCATCTGTCCATCATCAGCCTGGCATCCAACCTCAAGGTACTGATTCATTCTTTTGCTGTATGCAGGTGAGCTAATAATGTTGTATTTGTCTCAAAAATAGAAAATAAATGTAACTGCTGCCATTATATTGCCTTAGGCTTCATAAAGCAAGATATTAATGATGTTTCAACAATTCTACTTTCAAATATAGCTTTTGCTAGTTTGTTCAGACAGATTTTACCATCCAAGTTCATGTGAGGTTGGCTGTGATTTTAAGCTTGTGACTGTTTTTATCAACAGCATAGCCTTTCAGTCTCTCCAGAAAAAGTTACCAGCAAAACTACTACTGCTCATGTCAATTTAAACTTCTTAACCCTCCTTCCATGAGTTTTAAATGTTCTTTTTTTTTTCTTTCTTTTTACTGAATCTCTCATTTCAAGCAGACGGCACCTCTGCTTATGCCCTTTTCTTTCTCTGTTCCTGATAAATAATTGATTCATTATTCTCACCAGCTCTGTCCGTTTTTTATCTCACTTTCCACTACCTGTGCTCCTTTCACTCCTGCTCCTGTTTGTCTCCTTAATATGTCACAGCTTTCTCCACATATAGGCCTGAACTCAGGACATTAATTGCCCAGTGAAGGACTGTTGAATTGTCCAAACTTTCCTTTCATCTTCCATGACATTTAGACAAATGGGCAATTTTCACTCAGCATTTTTTTGTAGCTTTCCGTTAAACCTTTAAAGTGGAATCAAATGATCTGCCTTTATACCTCGGTTAAAAAGGAAAAGAATATGAGGATTAAACTCTGGTCGTGTCTTTTTCCCCCTCAGTGCCTGCCGTACTCACTGCTCCTGCAGCAGCTCGAGCTGAAGAATGTGCGGGAGCTGGAGGACCTGCTGATCGATGCTGTTTACTGTGACATCATCCAGGGCAAACTGGACCAGAGGAACCAGCAGGTGGAGGTGGACTGCAGTGTGGGTCGTGATCTCGGCCCCAACGAGCTCCCCAACATAATCAACACACTGCAGGAGTGGTCAGTGTCACCTCTGTGTGTCTGTGCACACACTTTAGATTTATGTCTCAATTATCTGTTTTCCGAACTCACAATCGGCTTTCTCCTTCCCTCCATGTCTGCCGTTTCTGTCTCAGGTGTACAGGGTGTGAGGCGGTGCTGTGTGGTATTGAGGAGCAGGTCTCGAGGGCAAACCAGTACAGAGAGAGCCAGTTGAAAGTCAAAGTCCAAGTGGAAACAGAGGTTAGTCCCTCTTTTGTTCTGCCTACAATTCCCTCAGTATTTCCCCCCAGAAAATCCAGTAAATGTGACGTTTGTGTTCCTATGCTTCCAGCTACTTGTGGTATTTTAGTTTCCCCCTGACTGCATATTTTGTTATTTTGCATCTTGTTTGAGGGTCAATCCATATAGCCTGTTCATAACTCTAACTTTCAAGGATAAGTTCACGGTTCTTCACATTTGTCTTAAAAGGTTAGGTGCCCGTATGAACACTGAAACGGCTTGCTGCAGTCATTCCTCCTGTTCATACTGGTTTTGAAGACATCCATTCCTAATGTACTTCTAATGTAAGTAATGGGAGAAAAAATTCAGTCCTTGTTCTGTGCAAAAACAAAAAAAACATCCAAGATTACGGTCTTCTTAGTAAGAAATTCAGTCTGTGTTCCTGTCCCTCAACTGCAGGTCAGCAAGGAAACGCTGTCTGTGGAAACACAGAGGGAATTTGTACTAAATAAAATAGTCGATGAGATGAGTCTTAGTTTTCATTGGTCAGTTAGTCGCAGAAAAGATCCAACAACCTGAAACTCCTTTCGGGAGCTGCGCCTTGTCGTTAGGGCCAGGACGCAAGTATCAGGGGATTGTAGCAACACAGAACTTTCCTCAATCATTACTGCTTGTCGTTAACAGGCGGCTCGCTTTTTTGCCCCTTGGAAAATGTATATTTTATAGGTTCATTATTATTTTATTCCTCTGTAATGTAGCACAGTGTGAACAGTGATACTTATTCTTATAAGATTCTTTCTCAGCCCTGGAAATCTTTTCTGCTCCATTTTCTGATGCCTCAAAAATTTATATTTAAATAATTAAATGAATATCACAAACATGAGACGACTAGTCGACTAATGGCTTGAACTAATGACTCTACTAAATGGACTGTAACCTTTGGAGATACCCCCTTTCTTTGATTAATTCAGACTGCTGAAGCCTCATATTAGCTTCATATACACTTTTCAGTACATTTTTACACAGAACAGGGACTGTGAATTTTGTCCACCATCACTGACATTTAAATCACGGTATGAAGGGATTTCTTATTGACCAGTAGGAACAATTATAGCAAACAATACCTGTTTCAATGTTTATATGTGGACCTTACTATTGTTTTGAGACAGACATGAAACATTATAACCTTTAACTCATCCCCCCTCTTTAATCTTTAATTTTTTAATCACTCTCCACTTTCCCCTCAGGTGTCAAACCTGCAGAAAACGTTAAAGGCCAGCGCCGCCTCTCCGTCTTCAGGCCCTGCTCCCGCTGGAGCCGCCTCCAATCAGGATGCAGACCAGCCTGCAGAGCCACGAGACCCCGCCTCCTCTCAGGAACCACGACAACCAGGGAAAAAAAGCTCTAAGGTGAAAGGGTGAGTACTTTGACATCACATTTGTATTTACTGCGATTATATGGAGGAATGTGGCTCCACACAGGGAGGCCGCCAAGTATAGTCCGCATGAGTTTTCTGAGCATCTTGGATGTTACGGGCTTTCTATACAAACAAACCAGAGTTTGCATACAAATTGCATTCATTTTTCTAAAGTATGGCCAAGCATTTCAGAAATTGGATACATAAAATGTGTTTGGCCATGTAGAATAATTTACTGAAATTATGTTTTATTCAGAATTGTTGGTGCGCTGTTCAATCAAGTTTGTGTTTTTAAGCAGGATGTCCTATTTATTCCTACAAGTCACAAAATTTAAACAAAAAGCTACATGTGGAGTTTTTTTCCATTAAGTTTATTTTATTGCAGCTTCTCCTTTTGTTCTTTAGAGCACTTTGTAACTGTGGTTTTTGAAAGGTGCTTTATAAATACGAATTTACCTAGTTATAACCGCAGCACTATAAAGACTCTACTTCAAACACTAAATTAAAGCCATTAGTCCAATGTTCTTTTAGAGAGCAAAGTTAATTCAACAGAGAACCCGCTATGTTTCCATTTTTTTCAATAAACACTAAAGAGCCAGCTGCCGGTGTAAGTGGTTTGCCTGTGTGCGAACGTGCGCATGTGTCTACATGAAGTAGCTTTATTATCAGATGCATATCAGTGTTTTGCAGCGGTGTTCTAACCCTGCTATCAGGGACCTTCTTTTTTTTCCCTGTTCTGCTTCTATCCGGTACAATTACAGATGGCTAATTTCACATCTGTCCTGAATTGTAAAATGTCACTGGATATACAAATGCCCCACGTGCTCTCCTGAAAGAACTGTTTCTCCCTCCAGTGATCAGACAAGATGCTTTGCTCTTCTGCTGTTTATGTTGTTGCTGCTGAACAGAAAGCAGTGATTATTTTCTGGCTGCCTGTCACATTTTGATGAAGCATAGAGCCCTATAATTTTCATCACTCAGCACTGCACCTCATTCAAGTCAAGATCCACTTTATGTTTTGAAATCCAAATTAATGATAGCTTAACCTCAATCCTCAAATTAAAATGAGTTTTGACACCATTTCTTTATAAAGCTATTTAAAGGATGGGACTAACTGTGCAGCAGTTATTATTAGAAAAAGGTTCTTTGCAATAATTCTTTTTCATTTGCAGAAGTAGAAAATCCACTGAGATCAATTTCAATACTAAATTCAAATATTAGATATTCTAACACAAAGACGCTTTTGCACCCAGGTTGCATCAGTAATATGTTGGTTTAGTTGTGCAAGTGGAAAGTAAACATGTAAATCATGAGATTGTTTTGACAAATCCCATACAAAGTACCAATGCAGTGTTTCTTTCTGGTTGTTTTCCACTCAGGCTGCGCGGCAGTGGGAAGATATGGTCCAAGTCCAACTGAAGACACAAGACTCATATGTGGAGACGGCAGTACTGATGGACACTCTCACAAATTAACGAACACATGGACACGTTGACGGACAAACGGATATATTAAAGATGTGACAAATGTTCACGGACACCCTTGCCACAGTAAAACCTGGAAGCTTCATGGGAACTACTAAATCTCACCTTTGATGGAAATTCAGAAATGCACACTGGCTGATGGAAATGACAGGTGTGACAATACACTCTTGCAGTTTTTAATAGCGTAACAGGCGGACTATTAGTGTACACACACACACATACACACAGCACTTGTAACACATCAGGACAGAACAGCAGGAGTCAGTTGCCTTTGACCAGAGTCATGATCAGTGTATTTAACACGTATGTGTGCTTCTCTTGGTTTAAAAATGTTCTTTTGGTTTAGATTGATTCTATGTTGCTTTGTATTTTTTCTTTCTTCTGAGTTGGGACATGTGTAAAATCTGAATATAAATTGTTGGGAAATAAAACGAAGCCCTGTACTTATCTTGACTGTCTCATTAATGTCACTGTCACTTCTTTTATTAAATGCACTTCAAAGTGCATCTCTGGAGGGTGCACAGCTAAATGCTAACTCGCAGAAGGGGGCTACCCGTTAAGAGGTCAAGCCATTAATTAGGGCAAGTCCCCAAAGAGACTAATGTATTATAGAGCTGAGGCTTCCCCTGTGCACAACCAGCATGGCCCCACACACATCCACACACACACACACACAAGTGCATTCATATTTCATATGCGTATGTTATGCCCAGAGCTTCTATTTCATTGTTGAAATTGCCTGCCACTCTCTCTTGTACCTCCATCACACATTCAAAATTCCCATCTTTTACTCTTTTGATTCTGTAAATTCTCCGATCTTCATCCTGCCTAACATTAATGGGTCCAATTAGCTGACCATCAGCAATAATGAGAGGGAAATACACTGAGAAACTATGATCGTGTTTCATTTAATCCTGCATCTTTTGCCACCCCCTGCTACCACCAACATCCCTCCCACTTCTAGAAATAGTGGTGTTAATTTAAGTCAGTGTGATTCAGTTTCACTGGTTCAAAGTTTTTACCAGATTGGAGGTGTGAATTCTAACAGCTGTACACCTCTCAAAGCGTTTGTCAGTGAAAGAGGGTTAGCTGGCGGACGTGTAATGTGGTGGCATGTGAGTCGCGTGCGTTTTATTATCGGTGTGAGCGACGACTCTGTATATGCAAGTTCACACCTAACTTCTGCATTAGAGTTTGTTGTTTGGCCACCGTGGTTACAAATTGCTGCAGCGTCTGCTGCCGTAGCTCATAACTAGATGGTCATTAAAACTTCAGAGTGGAACAAAGCCAATCAATTACTTTGATTGATCAAGAAAATGCCCAGAGGAGATGGAAACACAGCAGGCTGATGAAGAATCTCAATACACTCGGGTGGCATTTCTCCTCTCACGCCTTGATTTTATTGACATTTGTTTGAAAAACTGTACACAGAGGAAATTCTTGCTTAGCATCCTGTTAATCTTTCTGAAGCGGGAGGAATCCATATGAGGTGAGGAGATAAAGAAAAGCTTCAGACACAAGCAGCCGCCTTATTCTTCCTTTTCAGCTGCTCCTCTCTGGTAAAAACATGATTGGCACATGCAGTACTTTTTAATGCCAAGCCTATGGTTCAAAATGAATGCAAGGCGGTGGACTGAATGTTCACTCCAGGGAGAAAAAGATTAGGATACAGGGTTAGCTATTAAAATGCACAGTGTAAAGCTTTGTCCTTCCCATAAAGCATTGCAGATCGCACAGCTCCCAGGGGAATTCATTCAACATGCACAGAAATAAACAAATAGACACAAAGCTAAAACACCAGTTCTGAGTCTTTATTATTTAACTTCGATGGTACAGAAAGACCGCATTTCTACAGGATTGCTACTAAAAATCACAAGACTGGATATCTGGAGGATTGCACGAGCCACGCATGATGCCACCAGCACTATGTGTGTAGTGGAAATGTGTGTACGTGGGGGGTTCATGTCTCAAAGCTGCTTAAAAAAGTTGCCAAACACAAACTGACATTTGGCTTTGAAAGGTTCTGTAAGATATCACTTGCTGATAGATAAAATAGACATTTATAAATAATAGATTTGAAGCAACTCTCACAGGTTTTCTTACTGTATACATGCAGATTCATTGGAGAGACAGAAATTATGCTCCTTGATGTACTACTTTCCTTTGGTGCACCCAAGACAGCTGATATAGAGTGACTTGGTAATGATATGAAGGGAATGATGGTGGTTTTGTTTTCCAGATTGATGGCTTTCAGGTGGAAAAAATTCCTTGTTGTTGTAACATCAGTCCTTTGATCACTGGTACTGTTCACAGATGCTCATTTCCATGACGACATAAATCTGTCTATGTTGTGCACCATCCCAAACCTTTGGGAATCATTGATTTTCAACAGGAATGCTTGTTCTATCCATCCCTGTTCTGAATATTTTATCTCCACCACTCTCTGCTTAACCCACCTCTACACAGTCCAGCAGGAACAGAGTGCTCACAAAGAGGTGAACGTCGGCCAGATAATTAAGAGAACAAATCATGAGGAAAAACTGAAACAAAACAGTCTCCTCTACACATTGCTGAGGAAAAAAGCCACACTATTTGCATTTCAGGCGCCCAAAGCGGGGAATAAACAGCAGTTTTTGGAGCGTGACATGTTAAACACATTGCCTGTTGGCTACAGCCGTGCCAAACAGCTTTGTGAAATACCCCGTTCAGTATTTGGAGATGCTGAGAATGGCTTTTTTTTAACCATTTACAACCCAGATACAAGCCTGCTAGACTGAACTGAATTTGAGCATCATTTCATAAAAGAACAGTCAGTGAGGTTAGAATTAATACTGAACGGCTTCTCATGTGCAGCTGGATCACTGGAAACAGTTGTGGAAGCACAGGTAGGGCATATCTGGGTTAATGGGATGTTGCATGGTGGTTAAACTGCTTGTTTGTGAATTAGTCATGGCAGGTCGAAGCGAGTGGATGGGTAACTTGGCAGAGCTCGGGGGCCATACAGGCGATGGAAAACAGGGAGCAGGTTAAAATGACGCGGCGCCACATAAAAGAAATTTACACCAAGCACAGAGGAAGGACGGAAGGAAGGGGGGCGGGGGGGAGCAGCGGGGAGATGAGTTTGGGTTTTTTAGACCTCAGGGGAGCTGAGGAGTTTTAGGATACCTGGGATCCCTGAATTCATTTCACAGTTTCAGAGAAAATAAAACAGCGCTGTGGGCACACCCTCTGGTCATGTTGATGTTCGTCCTCAGGCCCCATAGAAATGTTTACCATATGGAAAAACAGTCACCTCAGAGGTTCACAACTGGGATCCTGACACAGCAAGAGACACAGAGAAGAAGAGTGAGAGAGAAATAAAGAGGAAAAAAGGGAAGAGGGGAGGGTTGTGGGAAGCTTGGGAGCCGTGATGATGGGAGGAAAAGACAGAGGAAGAGAACAGAAGTGGAGCAGAGAGGCCTGAAGCTGGAAAAGAGGTGTACACGCAAACGGAAAGCTGCATCACAGGAGACTGAGAGGGCGGCGTGGGGAAGAGACGGAAGAGAAGGAGGAAGAGGAGGAAGGTGGAGGAAAAGCTGATGGGGTGGGGGGGGTGGGGGGGGAGCACTGGAGTACAGCACTATAATTATCCTGATTGAGATTAACTTTAAATACCCTCAAATAAAAGCATCATTTCATGGACGGCGGCTAGGCGCCTTTTCACAGGCCCATGATGACTCATCTTGAGAGGGAGTTTAAAACACTGATACATCTTACAGCAGCACCAACACTTCAGCCCTGACTACTCCACAGAGAATAGCACTACTGTCCAATTATACTCCATGTACATCCTTACAATGCATGCAAAAGAGGTAATAAGGCTGCTTCACTCTCACACACACACACAAAGAAGCAAACTTGAATCCAGAGGTGCACGGACGGATACTTGTGCATTCACACCAGACTTATAGACTTAAGACACGCACACACTCAGACTGTGCAGAGCTGGTGAGGCGACTCATTACCTCTCCCTGTCGGCGAAGGAGGAGGAGGTGCTGTGCAACGTCTGCCGGCTGTCCTCCGAAGCGAGGGAACGAGGGAGCGCGAGGGAGAGGGGGGGAGCCACGCCACGGGAAAGCGGGGGCGGATGCTGGGAACAGCTGCGATCGTAACTGGGAGAGATAGTGGCACAGATAGATGGAGAGAGAGAGAGGCAGAGAAGGGAGGAGAGGGGAGGGAAGGAGGCAAGAAAAAGAAAGAGAGGAAGAAAGAAAAGACAAGGATGGAGAGGATATGGAAAGGGAGTGAAGAAGGGAGGGAATGGGGGTTGTTGGAAGAGGAGACAGACAAGAAGACAAAGAGAGATGCAGACAGAGGAAGAAAAAGATGAGAATTAAGGAAAAAGATAAAGACAAAGAGGGACAGGAATAGAAACAGAGATGAAAGGACAAAAAGAAAGTTGGAGTTTGAAAGAGACAGATAACAGTAACAGAAGGTTAGAAAGAGAGACACAGAGAGCAAGAAGTGGTAGAGGTTGACGTTGAAATTAAGGTAGATGGTCAGAGAAACAAACATGGAAAAAACAGCAGGATACGGAGAAAAGACGGGGGGGGGGGGACAGAGAAACAAAGTCAGAGAGCATCAAGAACAGCCGAGCCATTTAGCGTCAGCGAATACATTACACTGCCACTGTGAGAGAGAATTAGTGCACTCATCGGACTCATTAAAACGCTGTCAGAGGGGAGAGGGAGGCAGAGCGAGAAATGGGGAAGGAGACAGGCACTGTGGGATGACAGAGGGACCGAGTCGGGGGGGGTGGGGGTGGGAAGGATGCAACAAGGCAAAGAAATGGACAGAGGGGTGACGCATCACTGAGGTGGCGTGCCATTACTTCCGTAGGAAGGGTGAGTTAGGGTGAAGGTGCCGTCAAGAGTCACAGGTTCAGGCTCTTAAGAATACTTACATGCACAACAAAGCTGTTCTCACAGCCATAAAAGCCATCCTGTTCCCTCATCTTCCCTCAGTAACACCTGTCTTCTTCGGGCTGGCTCTCCTCTATCTCTCTATATATACTTACTCACACACACACTTATACACAAACATCGTCACGCTTGATAACAGCCACACTGACGATTTTAGGGCTGGGAAAATCACTGAGCACATATGCCGCTCTTCTATAATCATAATGAACTGGATGGTAGCCAATTTCCACTATAGGCTATCATTTCAGTCCATCTGTACCCCCCACCCGTTCATTCCGCGGCACTTTCTCCATCTAACACATGGCGTTATTTACACATTTATGACACTGAAGCACGAGCCAGTCTATAGAGTGGGGCTGCTGCCATGTCTCCAGTCTAAATCCCTGTGATTCTCACTTTTGTGAGGCCACTTTGGATCCACCAGCAGCGTGGGTTTTCCTCCATGACGGGGGCCGGTGAAGTAAGTTATCGAAATAACAGCGAAGGCCACTCTCAGGAACAGAGAGAAAGGGGGTTTTATCGTGTATCAGCTCACGGCAAGCTGGAGGATTATCTATGGATCTGCAGCCGGACCAGCGGCGCTGGGAGAGATAGGAGACTGGTGAGGGAGATAAGAGCGGAACCAGCTGTGCAAAGACAGGCATGCGCTAGAGCAAGAAAATGACGATAACTGGAAGTAAGCGAAAGACCCTCAAGAAAGAGGGGGAACACAGGTATTCAGGGAAAGAAAAAAATTCACTGGAAGGTAAAGTGGAAGGAGGCCCAAGTGAAAAGAGGGAGGGTGGGATAGAGAGAGAGCGAGAGGAGATAATGCAGGAGTGCGGGAGCAAAACTAGGATTAAGAGAGAGTATGAAAAAGGAGAACAAATTATACAGATCCAGGCAATGAAATGAAAAATTGATACAATAGAAATGTGGGCAAGATGATCAGATAAGAGAATTACAGTAATGAGGAGGAGAGAAAAAGTATAAATCGGTGAGGAAAAAGAAGGAGATTGACAAAAATGAGAATAAAAAGCAGTGTCAGATGCAGGAAGAGAGGAGTCCCAGCGGTCAAATAAACTAGGTGTTATTGGTTCGATCAGCAAAGAGTGGAAGTGCTCCACTACATCATATAGATGACTCCCCACTTTCAGCTAATGGCCATGTGTGCAGCGATGACTTGCTGCGAGGCCTGAAAACGTAACATATAGAGAACCCCCACCCTGTGTTTACATTCTCTGAGAGGTTTAATGGCCAGTGGGCTGTTAAGGCACATTGACACCAGTGAAGCCATGCTATTGCACAAGCCTGTCAGGCAACAGATCTGTTTTTGCTTCCCATCCCGTCCTAATGGTTATAGTGAATGTTTAATCATTGCAACTCCAATGGCACTAAATGACACATCTGTGCCAACTGTGACTTCCAGGAACACAAGTGTTGTTAATAAAGTCATTAGTAAGCAATTACTCAGCTCTCACTTTAGGAGGGGAATACGTAGACAGACACATTACGTAATCATGAACAACGGGCTCACGGACAAGACGACATGCACATGCAAACACATTTGCTAACTTTCAAGGTCCCATCTTCACTGAAACCCACACATCTGGCCTCTTCACTACTCCTGACACAACAGTCCCCATCCATACATTTTCATCTTGACCCATCAAATGCAAGTCTTCAGTTTTCAGATCAAAAAAATCAGATTCTAGATGCTTTCAGCCCCGTTTTTCAAAACACAGTATACTCCAATCTCTTACGTCCATAACGATGTAACTAAGTAACTAATTTCTAAATAAATGGTTCCCAACGTATTTTACCACTTAAAAAAAAGTTGTCTGCCTGAGACTCCTCTTCACTGTTTGGATGTGTCTACACATTATAAGCAGGCCAAGAAAAAGGTGATTAGTCCCTCTAAGATTGTTTTATCACTATGGAAGTACCATTATCCAGTAATTAACAAGATAAAAAGCACAGACAGGTCTAACGTCTGAAAATTTAAACCCAATTTCGTGTAACACAAATATGTTTTTTCTGCTTTCCTATCTTGTTAATCATCATTTGACCCCTTAGGGGGGACCTGACTTGGAAGTAAATCTACAGTTGACCTCAACACATCCCTTTTTTATCTGAGGTACATATTATTCTGAAAAGAATCTATTTTTTCAGGACAAATATAATCCAGGAGGTCTAAATGGTTTCAGATCAGGCACTTCATTTAACCTTCTCAGTCTTAAAGTGCCCGAATTTTAGAAATCCAAATTGACACCATATTAAGGGAGAAATCTTGTGGGGGTTTATTTTGGCTAATCCACAACTTCTACCATAAGGTCTTTTAATCAGCAGAACCAGCTCAGGTCGTAAGAAAGTTTCCAGATCATTCACTTTGATTGAGCAATGCCCACTTTATCTATATATGTGGCCATACACACAGACACAAACAAGCTTTTTGAGGACAGTTTAGGTTCCTACCAGAGTTTGGATGTAATGACGACTGCTGTCAGGATGAGAAGCGAGGAGATGGTCACGGTGACGTAGAACTGAGGGTCCACTGTAACACACACATACATACACATACATGCTCATGCTGTTACTAATCTCAGACCATGACCATGTATAATTACATCCAGAACAAAAGAAGAAATCAGTGAAGCCAGCTGGAACATGAAATTTGAAGTGCAAGACGTTGGCCCCCAACTATAACACTAATCCAATGACGTCTTCTCTGTGTCTTGGAGTTTGACAGCGGCCAATTCCTCTCTGTGAGTGATGAGAACTTTATTAGGCATTCCCCGCCACAGACACAGCCGGCTGCACACAGCATGGTGTCAGCCTTCACCCTGGTGACAGCTAATTCCCTGGAGGACTTGTGGCATGTGTGTGTTCACATGGACTGCGGCTCGTGGCCACCTTTATTTAGAAATCCTTCATGTGCATCTCCTGATGCCCACCTTCCTCAGGCTCCGTCTCCTCCGCCTCCGTCCCTCCGTCCTCCACTCCCTCCTGGTTCCTAGACTCCAGCGGTGCCTCCTCTCTGGGCTGCATACTTGCACCAGGATAAGGCCAGTCCTTGGACGTGGCGGTGTTGGCTTCCTGCTGGTTCCCATGCTGGTGCAGGGGGTCAGTTTCCTGGGTAGAGAGGAAGTGGTAGGTCTCATCCTCCAGAGGCTGCGTGGGACCCCAGACCACAGCCCACAGAGGGGTGGGTGTGACCTGGGCGGTGACGGACAGCTGGACCGACAGGGCGTCCACCTGCTCCTCGCCCTCACTGTCGTCACGGTTACAGGTGGAGGGCTGTGTCACCAGAGCAACCAGGAGGAGGGAAACGAGCCAGCGGAGGGCAGTCAGTCGTGCGACAAGAGAGATGGAGCTGGAAGAGAAGCAGAGGAGAAAAAATGAGAGGTGGTGGAGTGACAGAGAAGTTGTCTGAGAAAATGTATGTCTACCGGCGCTCTGCATGACCTCATCAGCAGAGACATTGATTCCCTTGCCAGCCATCAGTCAGAATGACATTTTATGCAACTGCACCCCATACATCCCTCCTTCACCTCAGATACTATCCATCTTACCATCTCTCCATCGCTTCGCTCTATTCACTGAGACTCCGCTCCTCCACTCATCTCTCTCTGTAAGATCGGACAGAGGGGCAAGAGAGGGAGAGAGAGAGGGAGAGAAAGGGGGAGGGTCCAGCTTTTTTTCCTTCTTTTATGTTGCCAGATAAAAAAATATGTTAACATAGAAACAGGCAAGAGGAATGGAACAAAACCAACTCCGTCACTTTTTTTTATAAAAAAAATATACACAGACTCCCCTGGGCTTTTCAATCTAACACTCAATTATGCGCCACATGTTCATACAATCCACATCTGCATGCAAAAACACCCGAAAGTACACGCTCATTTTCTGTTCTGCTCTCTCACACACATTTACAGTGCGCACACCTGAGCACAGCACATTAATCATCATTAGAGGCGTCATGCATGGAGCCAGTACTCTATATGGCACTTTGAGAGGTAACTTCCTATCCAACAACTGCTGCCTAAATGCCACAGAAATGTCACTTTAGAAACACACGAGCACACCGGGAGACGGACACAGACACACACGCACTCCGACACATATCAGTTATCATGCCTACCTCTGGCAGTGGAGAGAGGGAATGAGAGAGGGAGACCGAGAGGAAGGGGGAGATACAGAGAGCAAGTGAGGGGAAAAAAAGCATCGGTTGCCGTAGCGACTGAGACATGTAGAGTCTGCAAGACTAAGAGAGGGGAGAGAGAGAGAGAGAGAGAGAGAGAGAGAGATATGTAGGGAGGGCAAGAGACTGTAGAAAGGAGATTTAAATGCTAATTATGTGTTTTTTTAAAACGGGTTCAATTAAATGGACGGGGAGGAAAAGGAATGAATTTGACGAGGCAAACAGAAACTGATACTGAGAGCGACATTAATAAGCTCAGGCGGGAGGTTAAAAAAAACAACCCCAAAAACTCTTCAATTATGTTTACAAAAACAGCAAGGACACCCCAGAGAGAAAGAGACAGAACTACAGACAGCAAGGAGGAGGAGGAGGAGGAGGAGGAAGGAACAAGGGGAATAAAGATGGAATAATATTTCATTTACATAGGCTACACAGGCAGAGTGGGAAGAAGAGGCAAGGTCCGATTGAAAAAAAACAAACCAGATGCAAATGTGGAGGTGAGAGTCACAGTGTGACAGCTTTATTGTATGTGGAAATAATATTTACATAGAAAACAATCTGCCTACCACTCACACATAAACGCACACTGACTATCTCCATCCATATGCCCATATGCCCCCCCCGCCGACACTGACACTCAGTCTGTCACACTTCACTCCCCTGCACCCTCCTTCTCTGTCACTATACGCTCTCTCCCTCTCATTTCCTCTCCATGGCTGCAGGCCGTGGTGTCCTCGGCGTGAGAAGCCGGCACTCACTGGAGAACACAGCGCAACCACGAGCCGGACCCTCCGTCCTCCGCACCGCCAGACTGGGTGTCTTTTCCTTCACCGCTGTCATCATCATCCTCGTAATCTAAATTTGACGAGGAGGTCACAAGCATTCGTCACGACATGCATCATCTAAAATTAACATGGTAGTGAAATCCGCAATTCCATGGTTACTCATCAAGCATGTGCGTCAGTAAATAAAAACATCAAAAGGTGTGAAATTGCAGCGGGTGTGTGTGTGTCTGTACCATCAGTCTCCTCGTCATCTTCTGTGTCCCCCTCTGACTCCAGCAAGCACAAGTCCAACCTGGAGTCTCTCTTTGCTGTGACGTCACCCCTGTAACATGTACACCCGACATTAATTAAACACTTAATATCAATAGAAGTGTGTGTCAAACTCAGTTAAATCCGCAGCACGTTATAAATCCCAATATAGCTTCAGAATCAGCAATGCACTTGACCTTGGAAGGAATAATGGATATGCAAATGAGAAATATATTTGAGCAGTTCAGACTGAATTATTTTTAACTGAGTAGTGCTGACATGTATTGGGCCCACCTCTGCTTCCCAGAACTAGGGAGCTGCTCCCACACGAGGAGGTCACGACCTCCAGTGACCCACCGGTGGTCTCCGCTCCCTGTCGTCCACGCTGCAAAGCAGAGGATTCTGGGTGCGTCGGGCCAGGTCAGAGAGGCCAGGTACCGACACTGAGGCAGAGAGAATACTAGAGGGAGATGAAGGAAATGGGGGTCAACAGAGGAAAACAAAGTGGTTTCGATTTTGTCTTAAGTCCTTAAAGTGCTTTCACCCTCTCAGAGAGGAGCAACTTTTGGTTGCACATGGTTTACTCTGCTACTCACAATTTAGTGAGCTCTCTCCATTCACCAGATCATAGCAGGAGCCAATTAGGAGGCCCCCTGTCTGGTGAACACAATCTGTTACCCCGGTGATGCTGCTGTGATTGGTCAGTCTGGATACCATTCCTGTGATAATTGGACAGATGTTAGGTGGTAAGGATTATGCAAATGTGCCTACATCCGCCTTCCTTTTTCAATCTCTTGCTCTCTCCATCTGACACACACACACACACACACACACACACACAAACACTCTGCTTTGCCCATTCCAGAGCTCACCAGTCCTCCAGTGCAGGATCTTGAGCCAGGCTCGACTGTATGCCACGAGCACTCGGTCTCCTCGCGGGCTGAGGGTGAGACGCCCGCCCATCCCCCCTCCACATCCCGTCACCTGGCTGCTCCAGTGGTGCAGCAGCCTCAAGGGGTCTCGATCCGAACACCGGTTCTCCCACACAGACACCCCTCCCTCGGCCGAGCCGCTGAACACCAGCGGACCCTGAGTCTGTGGAGGGCACAGGAGACACGGTTGTCATGGTGATCTGAGTCTTTACAGTTTGTGTGTGTGAGTGTGTGTGTGTGAGAGAGAGAGAGAGAGAAAGATAGATACACAGAAAAGGCGAGAGAGAGTGTATAATACGTTTGTGTAAATGGAAAAGACATGTGTGAACACTTTCAAAATGGATGTTGCTGTGCCTGTTATAAATGGATTGTGCGCTTTGCATGATAAACAACAAAAAGGATGACAATGATGTGCTACGCTTTAATGCTTAAGGCATATTTTGATGATTGCAAATTGAAAAAAAATGTGCATATGCAGCTCTGGATTCCAATATCCATAAAAAGCCTTTTTGCTCAAAATATGTTCTGTGTGCTCTCTAAAATTGGCCAAGCTCCACAGCTTACATCTCAACAAATATCTTTGATTTCCATTTGAAAGCAATAAACAAGGAAAGCTTGTGTGAGGATAAGAATGTAGAAATATAGCTGTTTGATTTCCTGAGGAGAGGCCTTTTCACAAATCAGTAATTAAGAGTTCTAAAACTACTTTAGACAGCTTCTGCAGTGCGAGAAACATTGGCGTGTTTCTGTGTCAGCTGCTGTGTTGTATAAAAATAGACTGAACATGAAAAAACAGCTTTAGCATCCTCAGCGTGGACAGCATATCATGGCTAGTAGGTGACCCACCCACCTGGATGGAGGTGACTGCTTCCTGGTGAGCGTTGATTGACTGACAGTTTTCGAAAGTGTGCCAGCTCCAGGCTTGAACTTTCCCCCCGTCTAAGGGGTGACAGAATGTGAAGTTAACATGTGCTGACAGGCGGCTGGCAGTCATTACTGTTGGTCACGTTCGACCCACCTGAGCCTGACTGCCTAAACCATGTGCCTCAGTAGCTCTGATTCAGCCCGATAGCCCTGCGATGCACTCACTAACTCACTGGCAGATGATGCCACGGTGTAAGATTCTGCCTACTTATTAGTAAAGACATTTACACACACTGGCATTCAAATAAGTATGCAAGTACATGTCTGCTCCAAAACACATACATATTCAGAAGTAGATACAAATACGATGTGATATGTCAACATCTAACTCCAATCATTCTGTTCACTGTGTCACTAGCTCTTAGTCCACACACACATCTTCTCCACACAAAAACACACCTGACCCAGTGATGATGTAGCCGTCTTCCTCTGGCACAAAGCAGAGCGCAGTCACAGCGTTGAATGTGTAGAGAGACTTAACACACTGCCCTGAAGGTAACGGGAAAATACTCATTTTTAAATTGACGGGACACCAGTCACATGGGCCCACATTGATTTCAGTGCACAAACGTTTTCCAGACAGAGCCCCAAGGCTCCAGCTACCTGTATACATACAGCATGTGTATGTTTGTGTGGTTAAGCGTACCAATGCTCAGGGCCCAGATCTTCACGTAGCAGTCTGCCGAACCACTCAAAATAAACCTCTCCTTGTCGGACAAAGACAGGGCCCGGGCTGGCAAGAGGGCAAACACAGACAAAAGAGCGGTAGGGGAAAGAGGAGGAGGAGGAGGAGGAAGGACCGTGGGATCAGAAAAAGAGAGAGAGAGAAGAGGACAAAAATATTAAGCTGAGGAAATAAGTGATGATGTACAAAATGAACAGAAAGAAAAGATTGTAAAGAAGGAGGCAAAAAGAGAACAGACATGATTTAAAAAAAGAAACGATTAGCTGATAAACAAAGTGTGCCTTTAGTTGGACTGAGGAGCATCATTTATGCTCTGAACTTCTCGACTTGGTATTTTAAGTTGGGGAAGCAGGTGGGGAGGGAGTGTAGGAGGAGAGCCGGGGAGGGCGCTGGAGTTCAAGTGATGGAAGGCTGCCTGCTTCAAACAGAAAGTGTCTACTGAGGTCATCTTTTACTGGGGTTGATCGGATGAACCTCTCCTATAATTACCAGACTGCAGGACACAGACATTACTCAGCTATAGTCGGTATATGTGTGTGTGTGTGTGTGTGTGTGCGTGTGTGTGTGTCCTCACCCAGCCTCTTGCAGTACTCAGGGGGAGGTACAGACAGACAGGTGACCCCGCTAGTGTGACCACCCAGGTTCTTGTGCTCCGTTGCTGTGGGAACGTGCCACACCTTCACTGTTGTATCTCGGCTTAAGGTGGAGAGCGAGAAAGAGAGGATACAGGAAGATAAAAGGGGAGTTATGGTGAGTGAGAGAAGGCGGCGGAAACAAAGTTAAAAGGCGTTTGACATGAATCGCAAGAGATTTGTGCCCAGCAACCGGGGCGGGCGAAGAAAAACAAATACATGTCAAACAGTGAGGGAGCAAGCAGGAGCATATTAAGCGATAAATTAGGTGAAATGTTCACTTTGCACATCCATTATGCAAATCAGGGCTTCCTTCCTGCTTTACCTTCCAGAAACCACCAGGTTGTCAATGGCAACCACACAGGTGACTATGTCATTATGACCCTCCAACAGCCTCAAGCGAAACTTTGCCTTCTCCCACGACGATTTGAGGGATGTAAATTCAGCCTCTGTAAAAGAAATGATTTGTGCAATTAGCAACATCCCCTTATCAGCACCCCAGCGTGTTAATCTACACAGTTCTTCAATATGGATAAGTCTGCCAATGCAAAGCACGGGGATAATTTAGCTCCAGGCATGCAAAACGTGGGTCCTGTCTTCAGGGAAGCAAAAGCAGCCTGTTGGTTTTAATACTGGCAGCCACATGAGCTTGTTAGGACTCCTTGGGGCATACTTGTATAATCTGATTTTAGATGTTAATCGCAAATTAGGGCACTGCATTTTACTTTTTGCTGCCTGCGATAAACTGTAGTAACAATCTCTTCAGCCACTTTTCTTAATCATCCCACCTTCCTGTCGCAGTTGCTGCTCATTGTCAAAGTCAGCACAGCCTGCTGACACATCTCGGTGCTGATCTGACACTCTGGCCAGCGCCGTCCTTTCCTGCTGTCTGCCTATCTCTGCTCCCCCTCCTGTCGCTCTCCGCCTGGCAGCCGGCGCTGGCGTTGCTTGAGCTTTGGACTCCTCTTCTCCCTTAAGGATCTTGGAGGCTGGAGGCGTTTGTGATGGAAGGGCCTCAGGGGCATCCTCCCTGTGCCAGTTCAGAAAGCAAGAGCTGAATGAATAATCAAGATGCAAACGGCACACGGCATTCTTTGCGACAGGGAGCATACCTGTAGAGGATCCCCAAGTCCCACACAAACAAAAACAGTAGCTCCTAATGAGCTAAGGCTCAGTGTATTAGAAAGAATGCATGTATTTCATTCAGTTTGATGTTAATATTCACACATGGTGATTTCTGAGATCTACACAAAGCCCTGAAGCGCTTTAATAGGGAGGATGACATCCCTGAATGATGTTTACATAACACATTATGAATGGCAGAAAGTTCCCATTTTCTTTAAGTGTGACAGTATTTGACCTCCAGTGTGTTTGGATAGATATACAAAAAAGATCAAAGGCTTCAAAGTGAATGTTGTTGCTTTTGAAGAATTATGCTTTTTTCCATCTGCCCCCCCCCCCCTTGCTGGTACCTCTCCCTCACTTCCTTACACTTGTCTTTTCATCTTCTCCTTTTTTCCGTCTCCCACAATCCCCAGAGTTTGCTGCGGGCCAGAAAGCTGCAGCTGAAGCTCAGCCAATCTGGAACGGAGCTCCGCCTTCCTGGAGATCTGAGAGGGAAGAAGGCACGAGATTGGTTGTAAACCAAGCTACTAAATCCACAAGTTGTTTGTATGCACAACCAACATAGCCAGCCTGTCTTGATTTATTAGACTGCAACTGGCGACACACGCCGTGCTCCTCTCTGAGTGTGAGTTATGAAACGTGCATGAATGAGTGTTTTCGTCAACTTGATATTAAGTGGCTGTTTCCTGTGTTAAAGGATAGCTCCACACATAAATGTCAGCTACTTTAATTGTTACTTTAATTAAAAACTCTTATATGTCTTACTCTGGTGGAGCTTTATTAAATCTGAGAAAATAACCCCTGATGATGTAATAGTGATGTCATCAGGGTTATATCGCCTTGGGCTCGAAGACTACAACTTTTTTTTTTTACAGAAACCGGGGGCATGGATTTTTAAAATATGTGGGTAATTCGTAGACAGGGAGGGTCCAACAAAGACAGGACTGAGTTGCCTTGTGGTAAATGTAGGATCCTGTGACCCTTACTGGAGAATGAAAGTCAGGATTTGATTTTGTCCATTAAAACAATGTGTCTCTTGTGAGCAGTGGTGCCATAAGTATTAAGATATTTTTCTAAGTAAAAGTAGCAGTAACTAAATGTAAAAAAATATCCCTTTGATAGAAGAAGTTCTGGATTTAAAACATTACTGAATTAAAGTACATATGTATTGTACAGAAGTAAAAGTATCAAAAGTAGAAGTGCTCTTTAGGAAGCAGAATAACCCCTGTTGTATTATTATTATCATTATTGACACACACATTGACAAACATAATTTGTAACTGTTCTGGTTTGAGCTAATTATAATAAATATATTCTGAACTGTTAATTAGTTTCATCTGTAATAATTGGGCTTATTTTATAAACATATTATATCTTTTCTATGTAAAACTATATCTTTCAGATAAATAAGTAGTGGTATAAAGTAGCACAAAATGGAAATACCCAAGTTAACTTAACTTAAAAACAGTACTGTCCAGTAAATGTACTTACCACTGATTTTGAGTGCCCAAATTTTATGGAAGTGCAGTACACTTATTATTATTATTATTATTATTTCCTCAAATACTGTGATGAAGATATAAGGTAAATAAAGTGTAATTTTACTTTATAGGAAATTAGTTACTTTTGATTTACAATCCTTTTCTGCTTAGTTGTAAGCCACTTCACGATACAGAAAACCTTTCAGACCGGTTCAGACAAAGGAAATGCAACTTATTCACAGAAATTAATTATGGATACTATACAAGTAACCTTCACCATCACTATCAGCTGTAAATGGCCATAATTTACAGAATTCAGATAGTGCCCTTTAACATATTGTGGCTCTCCTGAAGTCATTCATTCATATCATTATTTTTTCTGATGCTCTCTGCTCAGAGTGAAAGCTTCTGATCTCCCAAATTCCTAAGGCAAAAGCTGTCAAATTATTCATTCCACTATTATTAATTCATGTTAATTACATATTTTTCTTCTGTAAGATATCAACACTGTTATTGCTAGTTTAAGAAGCCTTCCTTCATAATATTGTATCATACCAACACCATTAATATCATCTTTATTTAACAGCGTGAGCTTGGCCGTCATGGGCAACATCTGATATACTTTAATAGACTGTTTGGTGTATGAATATACAACACAACTTTACTGAAGGCTGGTGCGAAATGATAGTTGTTCTAATGTTTATAATTTTGACTAAATCCTTGTCTGTGCTCTAGTAAAGTCTGAGTTGCAGTCATAACGTGTTTTTACACCGGAGGGAAATCTATTCAGGATGTACTGAAGTCACACAGATTTACGTTACCTACACACTGATCACATTGGGAAAAAGGCAGATTAAGTCTTTCTGTACCTTGAATCTCTCTTCTGGGGCAAGATTGATTTTTATTTCCAGATTTTCAATCTGTCTTAACTTCTTCTGCAGCTTCCTCACCTCCCCCATTTGAAGCTCTGGGCTTATCTAAGACGCCGCGGGTTAACTTACACTTTAAAATGACTCTCAGTTTGCCAGAAAGTGTCAAAGACACAACATTGTCTTTTAATAAAAAGTATGAAGAGGTCTAAATAAATACAATATATCTCGCGGCTCAGCTGTGTGTAGGTGAAACGTGTCGCCGGATGTTGACGTACAGTAGACGTGTATAACCTTTCTTACAGCGACATCACGTGGACCGTTAAAGCATTGCCTTGAAAACGGTTAAAAATATAATGTTACAGTACGTTTACAGTTTCACGGGTATTAATTGAAGCAGACATGATTGTGTACAATTACAGATATCACTTGCTAATCCCTATGACAAGAGTTAATCCACATAACAAAAGTCTAACTAACCAAAAGTCACTTTGTCTACTGGAGGACAGTAACACTGTGCTGCCTTAAAGTGCTATTCTGTCAGCTCGTATTTTCGAGTTTCATGATCGTAACTAAGATTACAAATTTAAATAAAGCAAAAAAAGACAGTAATGGCTGTTTGATTTTTAAATGTAAGTGCTGCAATGTATATTTGTACCTCCATAGCAAGGTGAGGAGGAAGAGAAAAAGTGTTAAAGAAAAGCCATACATACTTCAATATTTTATTAGATAAAACTGATGTAGCCTATGCTCCACAAGTAAAGTGTTAGTAGGCATACACATACAGATAGTTTTACAGACAAGGAAAAATGACACATAGCACTTATAAGAAAATACATATTTTTGTGATCAACTGCCAAAAATCAACTTACAAATAAGATTTGGAGGGGCCATATTGCATGCTGTCTGTAGTAAAAGCTGAATGGTACATGTGCTACAACCTCAAAGTGGTTCAAACAGTTTAGGACCACAAAATATTAAATGTATTCTAATGTGGGACAAGGAAAGTCAAATGTCACTTTTAAGGAAGTGGAACCAATAAATGTCTGGCATTTTTACTTGACAAATGGTTGAATGAATAATCAATTACTAGCATAGTTGTCAATTAAGTTTCTGGCAATCAACTAATGATTGCAGCTCTAGTCACAAGTAGACATTGCTTGTCTATATAGTATCACAAGCCTGTTGGAAACTAGTCTTACTGGCTCTGTCGAGGGTCCCCTTGATCCCTCATACCCAAGGCTGGATTACCAATGGGACAACCACTCCGGGGGTCCAAAGTCTCAGGGACCCAAGACCTCAACGTGGTCTGGGTGCTGAGACCCCCTGCTAGGTAAATTCAGCTCTTGGACCCCTGGCTATGTGTTGGCTCGTTAGGTAATCCATCCATGGTGTGAGGAGGAGGACTTCTAGAATTAAGGTTGGTAATTATTACTTTGAGTAAATTAATTAAGCAGTTTTAAGGTACATGTTAGTTATTTCAAGGCACACAACATTAAAGGGAGTGTAAGTGATTCTGCACAAGGATTGTTGACAAATACACTTGTCCCTTCAGTGCTCCCTTAGATGCTCAACCCCCTAAATTTCAAATCTGACATTTCTCCAGCGTTGAAACGCCTTTGCCCTTGTCTGGTCATATAACTTTCTCTATACTCTTCAGACCTTTCCCTCTTTGGCCTTTCTCGGCCATCTCTCCTTTTTCACAGTGCCTGAAGTCCAGCTGTTGCTGATTGGCTGGAGGAATGTTGCTTATCAGGGTCCACACCACTTTGTTTGTTTTCCGTTTACACAGCCAGGGTTTCGCAGGAAAACCTGATTTTTTCAGAGCACACACCAAATGTAGAGCTAGCAAACCGCGAGGAAATATAGACCAAATCTAACAGAAAGTGTATTGGATTACAATCACTTACCACTCCTTTAAGTCCACATAGCATAATTATGTAATTTGAGGGTATAAATAACAAACTGAGGGGCAATGTATTAGGCGCATAAATTAGTAACAAAAAAAATTGTCACTATCAATTTTATAACAAATAATATTTGGCGCTATGAAGTTTCTCGTGACCCCGACACCTACCGGATTGTGTTACTTCCGACAGCACTTGAACACAGCATACTGACTGGATTCTCCCCAACAATTTGAAGCTGAAATCTAACAAAGTAAACCCCAACAGCCATGTACCTGTCACCATTTAGCTGCGGCTGTAAGGACACCAGCCAGCTGACCGACGACCACGTTACATTTGAGACATTTTTAAATGAACTGTCCCTCAGATACAGGAAGTGACATCACCGCACACACTTCTTTTGTCTGACGACCTTATCCGGAGGAAGTGAAGCTTAGACGAGGCAGCCGCTTCACCGAAGAGAAAAAAAAGCAAAGAGGGGAAAAAAACTTTACTGGTTTGCAGGAATTTGGACAGATTTAGAAACCGTGTCCAAATTGTCCCGACCCACGAGAGTTCCGGGGAGGGAGAAGGAGTCGTCGTTACCGGTAAACGCCACTATTCTCCATGCAGTCGATAGTATTTGTTGTTAGATTTGCATGACTCTGCTGCCGCCTCTCCACCCGTCTCCACAGCCGGAAGTATGTGAGGATGGTCTATTGGTTTTTTTCTCTTCGCTTCAGTTTTTTTATCCTTTGGGTGTTTTTTTTTTTTTTTTGCTTTGCTTGTTATTTTTTTCCCAAGCAGGAGACACACAGACACACTGCTGTCTGCTAGCTAACTGTAAAGTTAATGAGCACGTCGGGCCTGATTAACTACAAGATACAAGGAGCCCGAAATGGAGTCCTTCTGTTAAGCTACGGCTTATTGTAAACATGACATTTATCTGCAGTGGTTTGGCACTTCATAAAAGTTAGCGATATCTGGTGATTTGTAGTTCCATCAAGCGTGGTGTGTGTCTGTTGAGCCAGGTTATAACGTTAGCTAAGAAGTTGAATCTGCTGTAAATACCACAAAATGTGAGGTCAGGCACTGTGTGTTGATGCTCACAACGTTACAGATAAAGTCCAGTTAAGAAAATTAAACATAACGTTAATCGATGTTATTAAAATCCCAGGAGCATACTTTCTAATGTACACTTTCACTTTATTGTGCCAAAGACACGCTTAATCCCAGAGACCTATGTGTTATTTTTGTTTTTAAAACCATATTCACGATCCTTGGCTGTCTTCCCATCATACCTTCTCTACTCACTCAGTTAGTTATTAAACCTTTATAATTCCTCTTATCAGTCAGTCTACCCCTGTTTATCTCTATTTTTAATTGGACCTTTGCCATTAGGAGCCTACAAGGCTGGACCCAAAGCTGCATTACCAACTGGGCAAAGTGAGCTACTGCCCTAAGAGTGCCACACCCCCAGGGGCCCTCAAAATCCCCAGCTTCACTGTGTGGCAATTAGTTTGGGGAAATTTGATTAACAGGACTTTTCTCACGACTTGTCATAGTAGGAAAAGCACAGGTGTGACTAATAGCATGAATCATTGCTCTGTTCTGTGTCCTAGTAAGTCATGGCAAGTGTGACAGCTAGCAGGCATGGACAATTCCCAGACCCAGAAACTGAAGCTGCTAAATGGAATCCAACCATTACTCATTTTATTAAAATTTGCCTACTTTGTCTAGGAATATTCACCATTAAAGGGCAGTATCAGTTGACATACCAAGGGTCTTTGGTGGGTTTAGGTTTATTACCTGATCCTCAGATCATGCTTTAAAGAGGGATCCTTTGTTTAAAAAAAGGGGTATTGTTAAAATTGGTAAATATGGGAGAACTTCAGATTTTATTGTGTTTTAATAAAATTACCTCACAGCAAAATGGGGATTAATTTGGGGTAAGTGGGGGCGCAGCAACTAAGTTTTGCCAAGGGATCCCAAGCAGGATAATTGGGTAATGACTGGGTCCTTTAGAAAAAGAGGTTGTTTGTTTATATAAACTTTATTTATGCCAAGGAGGAAAATGTAGCATATCCTCTAGGTGTTGGAAATCACCATCTTATTGATGTTCAGCTCAATAGGTCGAACATTTATAACTATTTCTATCATATCATGATGTGGTTTATTAAATATGAATAACCAGTCTATAATGTGTACTATATAAAGTACAGCTTCACATTCAGTTACACTTGGAAGAGTTCCTCTTGACTAATAAAACAATGGGAAATATACATGTCTGTGTTGGACAACTAACATAATTTGAATTGAAGGCCTCTAATACTCCTGTGTTGACAAATATTACGATAAAGGTATATACCTTCTAGTGTTGGTTTTTGTGTGTGTGTGTTTTAGTATTTGCATCACAAAATGTGACGTTACTCTTTTGTTTACATAGAGATCATTTCAGTTTAACTGCTATGGACTATTGGTTATGTCTTTCTAGTAGCTGTATGTCATATTTATTACTGCAAAGTAACCAGTGGTAGTACTGGCTCAGTCATTACAGTAATTCACCGTTGCGACTTTTGTGCCATTGCAGAAATGATGGAAGATTCTCATTTTAATTCATCGTATTTCTGGTCTCCCATCCCCACTGTACCAGGACAGGTAAGACTGGGCAAGAAATCAAGAATATGCAGTTTCTTCAGGATTGATGTTAACAAGAAGCTCCTTAGAGGAGGTGTTTTGTGACTACAAGAAAATGATTGAGGGAGTCCAGTCTGACTAATCAAATGAAAAATCTCATCTCTGCTGACAGATTGAGAATGCCATGTTTCTGAACAAGGTGAAAGAGCAACAGGAAAAGAATGGTTCCTTCTCTCCTTCCTCTGCATCCCACTACCAAACAGCGCTTCTCACCATCCCCACTGGTGGGGCAAAGACAGATGGAGGAGGGCAGGCTGGTAGTGTGGCACACCTCCACCCTCCTCACAGCACCCAGAACATGCTGTCAGTCCCCTCCACAGGCATCATGACAGCAGGTGATCTACATGGAGAGGGCTCTGGGGCTTTCTCAGTTTGAGACTACTTGGTTATTCCTCAATACATTTGACATTATATCTGATGATCAAAGTACTAAGTAGTAACTTGAAATAAAAAGGACAGCAAAGGTTAAGGCTGAATTAACATCCCATAAATTTAGTTCAGAACCATAAAATAACAGCAATCCATTAAATGAATTGAAATTCCAGTTAGATGGAGCCTCCAGGCAGCACTGTTGGCTAAGAGCAACACGATGCCAGTAAAATGAACACCTAGCTGTGCGCTACAGCCTCAGGATTGTGTGTTCTTAAAATAATGGAACCGCAGCACTGTACTGTAATACTCTTTTATAGCACTTCACTCTTCCTGGTTTAGCATGTAATACACAAAATGTGTTTGTAATACATTTTTGAAACTGAATATAGAGGAATTCTGGTGAACTTCAAGAACACTGTTCATCTCCAACTGTAATCAGAGAAAGAACACTGCGCACAATGATCAACTTTGACTTCGTCTTCGCCTTTGTAATCTGTGCTTTAATTCTTTTTTTCTGTCTCTCTTGATTTCTGTCTGTCACTTCTTGCTGAAGCGGGTCTGGTCATCACAACTCCTCAGGGAACACTAGTCTCTCCCACCTCCTCTCAGTCTTTTGTCTCTGGTCATCCAGCAACAACCATGATTGTTTCAGCACTCCATTCTCCAGGTAAAACACACACACCATACTGTATGGTATACTTTGTACATGGTTCTAAAAAGGCCTTAATAGACTTTTCTTTCACTAAGACTGGTATTTGTTTAATAAAATTTCACTTGAGCACACAAGTTTTCATTATAATTTATGATTTGAATATGAAGTAAATACATTTAAACTTCATCAACTATGGGATTATATTCCTATCTTTATTAAAGAGCGTGGTCTTTCAGTTTGAGAGCATGACCTATTGATTTCGCGTTCAGATTTTGTTAGGCTTTCCCTCAAAACCCTGCCCTCGCACTGAAGCATTACTTGTGCTTACATTTGCTCTGCTTCAGCTCAAACTGTGTGCTTGAACTCAGATACTGTATATTGCTACTTTCACAGATTTCCTGCACTTCAGGTTCAGCCCTTCTCGCACTCAGGCTGCTTCTGTGCTCTCGTTAAACATCTGCTCTCAAATTTCTCCTCTGCTATTTGATTGGCTTTTTTGTGCAAGGGGATCATGTGTTTGGCTGCGTGTGTGCTGAATTACAGCAACTTTAATGACCGTATCCACAAATGTCAGTGGTAACCTTTTGAGGCTATGAGGATTAGCAGAAACAAACTGTATTTTAAGTCAAGACTAATTATGCAACCTTTTATTGTTGTTTTTAGTGATATGGAACAGGATCAGACCTCTTGGCTTTTGTGGGTGTTATTTTCACTGTGCCCAGGCTATGAGAGAGAAGGTTTTTATTTATTTTTTTATTTTACTTGTAATGATATGTGAGCCCAATTGAGTGCTTCTCTTCGAAAGCACAGATCGTTCTCAGGAGTTACACAGCAACAAGATCAAGAAACCAGAAAATGGGAAGCTAATTAATGATTTAATTGGTTATACAGGTTGTGCCAGTAACTTATGGTTCTATGTCTTTAAATTAATCAGTTTTTCTAAAAATTGTATTCCACGTGCAAAAGATGAAATCACAGCTTGCTTATAAAATATTGGTATGTTTGTGCTTTTATATTTAAACTGTTTAAAGGAAGCAATATTCATTATTGATGTTTTTGATTTAGTTTTTTGAACAGATCTTCACTAAGAAATTGCCACGTTTTTTCCACAGAGATTCTTTGTCCTTTCTCATTCAAAAGTCAATTACACCTGAAAGAAAACGCACAGTTAAAAACATGAGGGGCGCCTGTTAGCTTTCCACTAGCGTGAGCCCCATGTAAGAAGGCTTAGTCCTCGCTGCAGCGACCCGGTTTCAAGTCCAACCTGCGGCCCTTTGCTGCATGTCGTCCACTATCTCTCTTCCACATTTCCTGTCTCTTAGCTGTCCTATCACAAATAAAAGTCCTAAAAAAGTCCCAAAAGTGTTGTTCCCTGAGCTTGCAAACCCATGCTGCTGCTGCTCGGTTCAATAGTATTCTCCCCTTTTTACCTGCTGCTGTTGATCCTTGTTGTAGACAAAAAAGAAGGGGATGGGACGTCCCATTTGGTTGTGATGCCAGCGCCCTCCAAACGAGGTCGAAAGAAGAAGACAACACTGTCCAAGGTCGGTCCTGTGGGTGGACCAGGAAATGAAACACTAATACTGGCACATCTCACAGCCGGCGGGCAGGTAAGAAAATACAGATGTAGAAAGGGAAATCTGATTCTGACATGATTAAAAAAAAAATCAGATAACTAAATAACTTATTATTTTTGACAGCTGGCATCTTTGCAGCATCACGCCGGAGACCCATATGACCTGTCAAATGAAGAGGAAGACCAGGGCCCAAAAGATAGCACAAAGACATACAGGTACAGTGTCAGAACAACACCTGCTGTGCGCCCCCATTTCTCCTCGCTCTCGCTGCGGAATGCAAGCACACCTGTTCCTCTGTGTCCTGTTGAAATGAGCGTAGACATGTTGTGCTCTTATAGATGAACTAGGCGCTGCTGGATATACACCTCTGGCACACACAGACACCTCTACTAAAAACACTTCACTGCATGTTGTTGCAGAACATGCCTTCTTTCAAGTGTACAGTTAAATCTTTCTCTTAATTTATTTAAGATACAAATACTTAAGTGCTTCATAGACGCACTCTCAGCCTCTGCGCACACTGGACATGAATTGCTACCTGGCCTCTACTGTCCTCTTTGTGTGTTATATAGCATGTTCTTTGAGTTGTAAACTCTCAAGCACTCTTGTGTCCTGCTCTTTCACTTTTTATAATATCTACGTGCCTTTCCCTGTCAGTTTTCACTGATATCTTCCTTGACATCTTTCCTTGTGTTTACATCTCTACATTTGATTTAACCCCCAACCCCCCACCCTTTCCCCTGGCGCCATTGATTTATCTTATATTATTAATGTTCCGTTTTATTTATTATCATTTTCTATCATATCTTATTTCTTTCTGTGGGTTGATGCTTCTTCCCCCTGTCTCCTTCCAACAACCTCCTTTTCCATCATGTCTTGTGTCTCCTTGTCTGTATATGTGTACCTCTTCTTCCTTCTTGTTCTTCCATCCCGCCCTCCCATTTCTGTGTCTCTCCGCCTGTAGGTGCCGGATGTGTGCGGCGACCTTCCTCAGTAAGTCTGACATGCAGATCCACTCCAAGTCGCACACAGAGGCCAAACCTCACAAGTGTCCTCACTGCGCCAAGTCATTCGCCAACTCCAGCTACCTGGCCCAGCACATCCGCATCCACAGCGGGGCCAAGCCTTACACCTGCTCCTACTGCCAGAAATCTTTCAGGCAACTCAGTCATTTACAGCAGCACACACGGTACTGCAGACCCCCCCCTCCCCTCTCCGTTACAAACCCCGTACCATATTCCCCTGTCCTGTTATCTTGTCCTGCCAAGTGCCCTTTAGAAGCCCAGATTCCTGTCTTCTTCTTCCTCTTGGGGAAAAGATTGGAGGGGTGTGCAGATGCATATTTCACTGCCATGTAGATGTTGGCTCGCATGCTACCAGCTCCACCCAGAAGTGACCTTTTCAGAAAATTAGAAGTCAAATTTCACCTTTTTTTAAGTTGGGCTTTGTCCATGAGACAATTGTTCATTATTTAAACAATAAGTGACACTATGAGAATATTTTACCTTTCTTTCGTTTTTTTTATTTCCGTGTGTGTACAAATACTTGCTTCTCTCTGTACTGTTTTGCATTGCGTTTTCATCACATTTTCCCGCTTTACATGTTTCTTTTGTCTGTATGTTTTGTCATTTCTTCTGCCAGCGCTTCAACTGAAACGTACACATACACATTTAGAAATACATGTTGAAATGTAGGTTTAAAGGCAGACTAAGTTCCATTGGGCTTCCCCATGTAACCCATAGTGGTGTTTGGTATACTTCCTTATCATTGGTTTTTCTTACTTTCTCCATTGAATGGTAAAATCCTTTGCTGCCATGCTCTGCTTTCCTGCTCTCTGTACTCATTTCGTAGTCATCCTGTTGCTGTCCTTTTTGGCTGTCATCTAATCAATTTACAGTAATTTATGGAGGCATGTTGATCTAAGTGAATGCATTTGTAAAACCTTTGAACTACAATTATTATATTTAACATTTTGTTATTCTGTTCATAAGCCCAAATCACCTAGGGCAAAATTATATAATAATTTTCACTCTTTTGCTTTGTTTTTCTGTGATTGTAAACCATGACCCACTTTGGGGCACTTGTAATTCAAACATGAATTGAAACTCTTGCTGCGTAGAGCAGTAAAAGTGTAAAATGATCCATATATAGATATTTTAGTGCTCCAATCTTCTCGTTACTTCCTGACAGGTTTTGATAAACTGAGGCAATCACTTTAAAGTATGCGTCAAGCACAATATCATGAGTTTTATATCAGTCTACCTTTACAATCCTGTTTCCCTTTCTCTTTCACCGTCCTGTCTGCCCTCATCAGGAACCACACAGAGTCAAAGCCTCACAAGTGTCCCCACTGTACCAAGTCATTTGCCAACTCTAGCTACCTTGCCCAACATGTCCGCATCCACACCGGAGTGAAACCCTACTCCTGCTCCTTCTGCCAAAAGAGCTTCAGACAGCTCAGTCACCTTCAGCAGCACAACAGGTAAGTGAGTCACTGGGCTTGGGTTTCTCATTTGCCTCTTTGTCTTTCTGCGGTCAGGGTAGATCACCATGAAAGTGAGTCCGTGTATGTACATGTATGTGTTTGTGTTTATATTCAGGATTCACACCGGAGATCGGCCATACAAGTGTAGCCATCCAGGCTGTGAGAAATCCTTCACGCAACTCTCAAATTTACAGGTGTGAAATAATTTGTTCTTGTTGGCTATTACCTGTCTCACAGAACACTTAACTGTACTGTAAAACTTTTTTTTTCTTCAATCACCATCTTTTCCCAGTCCCACCGGCGTCAACACAACAAGGACAAGCCTTACAAGTGCACCAACTGCAATAAAGGATACATAGATGCAGCAAGCCTGGAGGTGCACATGTCCACACACACAGTCAAACACGCGAGGATCTACTCGTGTGGTCTCTGCAACCGCACTTATACCTCAGTAAGACAAATATCCATTTCTGAAGAGCATTTCTACATAAAACAGTATGAATCACCTTTCTAGCATCAGACAACTGGCCACTACTTTACACCTTGTAGTCATGTATCAACTGTTTACCCTATGCCTATCTTTCCGTCATCTCAGGAGACATATCTGGTGAAACACATGGAGAAACACAATCCAGACCAGTTGACTGTACCAGCAGTCGGGGGAGCACAGCCAGCACAACAGCACCAGCACCAGAACCAAAGCCAGGGCCAGGCTGGAGCTCAGAGCCAGGTAGAGAGTGCAGATGGAGGATCTAGCCGAGCTGGGAGCGGAGCTACGGGTGGCGGTCAGCAGGGACAGAGCCAGAACAACTACCCCCAGACAGAAACCATTTCCTGTCCATTTGACCTGCACCAGTATAAGACCGTTTCTGCCAGTGACATCCAGTACAAACCAGTCAGTGTAGCTGACATTACTTCCCACAAGGACCTTTGTCTTACTGTGTCAGCATCCACCATTCAAGTGGAGCACCTCAACTCTTAGAGGCGATTAAAGGAGGGAGTTTGGGGGTCAGGGATGTTCAAATTAATTCAAGAAAACAAGAAATGGAGGACTGAGAGACGAAGGATTAAAGCAATACTAAGATGATACAAGAACTTTGGAACAAGTGACTGTGCCTGAATAATGGTTTGAGGCAGACAAACAGTATGGTGACACAGTATAGTGAAGACGATAATTTTGTTTTATTTTTTTAATTCGTCTATTTGTTCTTTCTGCCTTGTTTGATTTGTTTTGCTGTTGCTTAGCTGTCCTGTCTGAGTAGAAAGTGCATGTAAAGGCTGCAATAAAGTATGTTTCAGTCCATCACAGTGATGGTTTTATGAAGGGTAAAGAGTCAAAGAGACAGTGCTTCTCCTGATGTTTTATCACCTCCTGCCGTTTCCTTACAAATACAGCTTTGGCCATTGCAATTTAGGGCCGCTCTATTGATGAAATTGGTAGTCGACTGTGAAGGTAAATTTTTATACTTTCATACAGAGACTTTCAGTTTTTTCTTCAGTGTTAATACCTCTACTATGTTGTAAAACACATGCCCGCAATTAATTCTTTTTAACCTTAAAAGGGACGTAGAAGATATTTCCTTTTCAGGAAACAAAAAAAATATCAATCAAGTATATATAGATATATACTATCAGTTTATAAGGTATGATTGTGTGTTTAAAGGCTGTGGTAATCCATATAACCTACTTACACCCATTGGCAGGCCTTCACATGACTTTCTGGGAAGTGATGAGCCAGTTCACATTTCATGTAATCCTATTGTACTGCTTTGTGTGTATGTCCTAAAAGTAATGTTATCCAAATATGTTCTTACTATTATACTCCCACGATAACAATGTTTATAATACTTCTTTACAGACATACTGACACATCTGACATTTGTTTTTTTTGTTTTTTTCAGCTCTTAATACAATAAACCCTCTGAAACGTTTCTCATTGGCTTTTTTCTGTTTCCTATTTACTTATGTGCCGTGGTGGCTTTATGAAGTGACAACAATAAGAGCTGTTACTAACATTTGTGAACCCACAAAGAGATTTTTTTTTGTTGCGATTTTGGCTTAGAAAAAATTGTTCATATCTTTTTATTTTGGTCAAGAACAACTTTTACCAGCATATTTGAGATGTACAACACCTAACAAAGAGAAGCAAACACTATGCTGCTCTTGTTATGCATAATGGTCTTATTAATAGGCCTAACTAATGATGTAACTGTGTATCCAGGTAGATTTAATAAGCACGTCTGCTCTGCTGGAATGTGGAAATTTGTGAGGTGTTTACAAAAGTGGACTGTACCATTAAAGAGGAGGGGAGTTTACTGTCAGTTTGATCAACATTTTCTTGGTACATGTATATAATGATACTACGAATGAAAGGCCATCTACTCTTCTAAAAGCTCAATCTAAATAACATCATCTAAATAAAGCCAAAATTATGTAAACTCGACCAGTTTGCGAAAACTGACATGTGGTCTCGTCCACCATTCTCTGCAGTGATATGGCGTCACTGCGAAGTGTGGGAGTCGAGAAACTTCACTCATGTAAATATCGTCAAAGACAGCTGCACGTAGCAATATACAGTACATAGCTTTATTTATTTACCAGCTTATTTTTAAGTATGCACCGGAAAAAGCCATTTAGCAATAAACAGAAGAAGAAACAGCTACAAGTCAAACGGGAGAAAAAGAGAGGTAACTACATTTGCTGTTAGCGTAACCACGCTAACGTTAGCATTCAGCTAACGGTTCGTGCTGTACAGTTAATTGTGAGTAGCACGAACAGTTTCTTGTCAGTGTGTGTGTATGTATGTATGTAGTGTTAGGTTAAGTAACATTAAGGTTTTCAATCGGAGACCAGGCCATTTATTTAGCCTGTAAAAATAAACATCCGTGTTTTCAGTTAGCTATCGTTTGGTGTGATAACATTAAAGCAGTGTGACATAACTTGCCTTCGAACTTGACAAGGTATAAATGGCGTTAGTACAGCAGAATGCACAGGCTTGCGCATTTGTAAGGAAGCGTTAAAAACTATATATCCATTTGATTTTTAATTAGTAGTTTAACTATAAACAGCCTATGGTTAACCAAGGTCAAGCCATATGGTGATTAATAACTCACTCAGTGGAGTAGACCATTGGAGAGTCAGAGTAGATTTCATCAAGTTACTTAAGATGTCAGAACAATTTGAAACTATTTCCCATGTTGTTAACTGTTTATTTAAATGAAAGTCAGCATCTATTCTTGTGAAGATGTCAAACTTATTCCTGGATAGGAACCTGGCTGAGGACACCTGATTAGAAGCATGTCCATATCTGTATTAACCAATATCAGGGGGAAAGTAGGTCTTGGTCTTGGATTCAAGAAAGCTAATTGGTGCATGATGCAAGCCTGTGTTTGACTTCCAGGTGACACAGGCTCTGGGCCGAGCAGCCGCAATGCCAGTGTGGAGCGAGGAGGAGAGCGACAGTCTGACACCTCAGACAGTGAGACCACCGATGTTAGGAGAATAAATCAGCAGCCCTTCAGCAGAGAAGGTAGATATGACCCCAACAGGTGAGTTGTCAGTGTCATTACTCATACTCACATTCATCCATTTCATTAAAGTAATGGTATTGTAAAAGATTTAAGATTCTGATGAGATATATAAACCTTTGTGCACTAGGTGTGTTATTTGACATTCAAGGTTATCTAAAATGAATTCCCTGGAACATCAGCAGGATGCTTGAATTGCCAGAAAAAGTGGCTACTATGATAAATTATTGAAGCGTTATATCAGAGCATCTGTACTGTGTTTTAATGACTTTATTTTAATAGAATGGCTCATTTAGTGTGTGATGTTAAGTTAAATCTAGAAAAGGTAGATCAATCGATTTGCACGTTCTTACATTTTTAGAGATGGCGACCCACTGCGAGGATAATACTTAAAGTAGACATATTTACGTCCCACACACTCTCTTCTCTTCAGGTTCCGACTGCATTTCGAGAAGGAAAGTAAAGATGAAGTGGAAAAGAGGAAGAAGGTGGCCAGGGAGAAGGTGCTGCAGCCAGTCTCAGACAAAGAACTTGAGATTGACATCAATGACATCTACCCCTCAGATAAAGGTATGGCTGTTTTTTAATGCTTTACACATAAGTCTCAAAATAAGCCAGAATAACAGATAAGCAGAGTAGGTTAATGGAGTGGGTCACTGCTTGACACTCTGAAACTTTATTATTCACTGCCAGGTCTTGGTCTCCCACGACGGCCGTCCTGGAATTATGAGATGACACGAGAGAACCTGATGAGGAAAGAGGAGAAGTCATACAGAGACTATTTGGATGACCTGGACTCCAAAAATCCACCTGGCTCACTCAGCCACTTTGAGCACAATCTGGAGGTAAATTTCTTAACTGATAAAATCTTAAGGACTTCCTTGACTGAAGTGCCATTGCTTCTTTATTTTTAAATTGCATTTTGTTTAGAAAATCTATACAGAACCAAGGTGGGAACCATGACTACTACTGTATAGTTCATACCCAGTTCAGATAATTTATGCAGTCATTGTCCTAACAGTGAATCCAGCAATTCAAAATTCACTCCGTTCTTTGTATTAAATCACCCCGCAAGTGATGCAATACTGGTCAGTGTTATATGAGAACCAGGATTTAAAAGCTTAGACTGCCATCCCCCTTTCTGTGCAAAATAAGTATTTATGAATCCTTTGACAACAGATAACAGCATGAAGTAATGCTGGTTGTTAACGACTTGCCTGTAAACTGATGATTACCCAGCAAACCTGCTTTGCCACCTTCACCTTAGAGACATAACTGTTGAGGCTGTTATAACTCCAGTGTACCATGAACTGAATATTTCACTGTGGTAAAGTTGGATCATGTAGGGAATAAGAATGTTATGACATACCTGTGTATTGTTTGGTATTTTCCGCTGGGAAGTAGTACCATTGTATCTGTCATGCTGTGATATTGCTAAGTTCTGCTCAGGCTGTGAAAATGGTAACATTATTTTTCAAAATCAAAAACCCTGCAGAGCATTTAATTTCAAAGCGTGGGCTGAGCTCACAGGTGGTACATCACATCAGATGCAGGGCTTGAGCAGCTGGTGGTGTGATAAGTGACTCTTACCAATCTAGAGATGATGACTTTTTAAGTGGAGCTGAGGATCAAAATTATGGAAAAATAACATGTATATGAATAAGCGGCTTCTATGAACAGATTGTTTTGCTGTAGGAGTAGAAATTGTTTTTGTACTATTAAAATGAAGCATTATACTGAATAGAATAAGAAATATTATCTTAAAGTATTTTCAAATATCCTAATCTTTTACAATTGTTTCCTTATGAGCTATCCAATTTAGAGGCATTACTTTGTCTTGTATACAATAATAAACCTCACATTACCCAGCTTTCCTTTTTTCTTTTAGACATGGAGGCAGCTATGGAGAGTGTTGGAGATGTCAGATGTCGTCCTACTCATCGTAGACATCAGGCACCCGGTAGGTGATCTGGAAAGCCAAAGGTCTATCTGCCTCGTCGGTTAGACCACTAGATGGAGACACAGTCAACATCCATCTGAACATCTGAAATTGTTTTATCAGTATATTTACATGAAATATTTTAAAATTTGTCATGTTTGTAGTTGGTAATTTTGTCACCGAAAAAAATTGTCCAAATTATCAGGGAACTTAATTTTATACTGAAATGACACATGTATAATGCTGTATCTTGCACCCTCTTTACACCTGGCATAAAAGTGTCTCGTATCCAGATTGTATCTAGATATGATTTTAACCTGATTACATTTACACCTAGCGTTGTCCACATTGAGATCTGATCGTGATCCAATCGCTCTGTCCACCTGTAACAACTGAACGTCACGTCCTTCTCTCATTTGCACAGGTCCAAAAAATGCTCTATCGTGCAGTTGATATTGACTACCAGCTATATACAGTGTGCTTGCCTCGAAAACCCAGCTGTATTCTAACATTAACTTAGCTCTGGTTACTAGCTAGGCTCCTTAAATGCTTGCTAATAACTTTTTTGAGCTGGGTCTCCGACATTGACAGTGTTGTGTTGGACAGATTTGTGCAGCTGTGTTCATGAGGGAGAGGGAGAGAGGGACGAGTGAGAGGATGTGCTGCACGAATGCGCAACGGCGCTCTGAAATCAAATATGATTTTAAATAGGCCTAGTAAAAAACAAACAAAATGAAAATCAATATGTGGCGGTCAGCGTTGATATTGTGGTGGGCCGCCACAAATAAATGAACGTATGGGAAACACTGCATTTAAAGACCACTGTTAATGAATATAGAAGTAGACTTGGAGGCAAATAGAAAAGCATCCCTCCTAATACGTGTACTTCAAACACAAATTTTACCAGGCTATGCTTTTAAAATGTAATTTATTTATATGAGAAGTTGGCTTTACTTGCCACTAATTGTTTGACAAATGAAATGCTCGTGTTTTGTATTTTAGTGGATAAGCAGTTACAGTTTAGCAGTGTCTCTAAACATTTCACATTGACCATTTGTTTTCCTTCCTCATTAAATGTCTCATTAAATATTGCATATATTGTTGTAGTTTTGTTGATTAACTCAAGAAAATGGTTGCATTCAAAGTTCTCAAGTGTTCAAGACGTGTCCGTGTGATTTGCTTTTTATGACTTCAAATCAAACTCAGTTCTTTGGTTCTAATTATAAGACACCTGACATACTTATTCTAACTTCTCACAAGCCAGATGTACTTAATGTGAAGTGAATTCACTTCCTGTATTTAGAGTGTCTAGTATTAATGTAAAGTTAAAAACAGCACAGCTTGTCTTGTTCCTATTAATAAGGGTATGATCAAGTGGTTATTTCTTGAGTAGGCTATAATTACTATTTTTAACAGGGGGTATCCTCATGTAAACCACCCAGGTGCTGCAGTTCCCTCCAGCCCT